CTCTCTCTCCAACGTTTCATTACTCACATTCGTCTTTCGTTCTTTTATTACTTCTCACGTTAATCGTAAGTCCCTGCCGAGGTGCATATTATCTTGATACGTGCATGTGCATGCATCGTGATAAATCGTCGCGCAATAGATATATATGTTATTCTCGAGTTTGAAGAAACTTGTCGGCTGCATACAGATAAGCGGAAAAAATCCAAAGATTGGAGGAACAAAAAACAAATGCAACGACGGCAAAGGGGAGCGTCATCGCTCATGTCCGTCAACGGAAAGAGCAGGCCCGCTCGGTCCGCGAACACTCGACCAATTTTGATATTCCAGTTCCGTCGGTACGAAGGAAGAAATAACAAAGCGCGAAATATCGCGCAGCGAATTATCCGCGTCGGCTTAATGTATGCGACGGAGGTTGATAAAGAAAACAATACTCGGCTGTGTGATTTATATTTAAAGAATCCGGAATTTCCATTCGGCTGACGGCATAATTAGCCGGCTTATGTAATGAAAAGAAGGAATAAGTGTTTCGCATTATTTTGCGCGATTTAACGGAGATTGCGGATTGTTATCGTACCGAGCGTTTTCGATCCGCCGTCGGGGAGTTCGCAGAAAATGCCAACGTCGCCGAGTATAAATCGTCGCCCGCGGATCGTCTTCGTCGATTTGATGGAAACTGCATAATACCGCGCCCGCAATACGTGCAGAGTTTAGCTCTCGCAATTTCTCGCGACGGCCAACTCGAGAAAACCCGGCTCTCTCGCGCACGACGTGTCGGCACGAACCATCGCAGTTTTCCGCGTAACGCCGAACACGCCGTGATTCAGACGATAACGATATCTCGTGTTTTGCAAATCCGACGGGCGCGCGTCCACGCTCGATGCGCGACCATGCACCGTTCTCGAAAGATCAATAAAAAGGCGCTGACATAATGCGTGTGTTTGCCTCGTGAGTTTCTATCGAACGCATATACATCATCCTACACTTTGCCGATAACTCGGATTAATCCTCACATGACACATATCCTGTTGGCGTTTTCGTCAAGGCGTTTATTTACATTCCGTAAAAGCGCCAGCAAAAATCGATGAAAAATTATGAATACACTTCAGTTTGTAGAGGATACAATCGTGTAAAAAAATGATCGTAAATTTTCTCACCTAAATATTTCATTTTGCTAGAAATATAAGCAAAATTTACGCACAAGTTTATATCTTTCCGGAAAATGAATTGAAAACAATTAGTACTTTCGGATTTTTTTGTCGATACTTGAATCTTTAAGAGAGAAAAAAAAATATTACACATTTCAATTACACGTTTCATCAGAAAAAAATATTACACATTTCTTCAGAAAGTATAAAATTACTTGAGTAATAAAAAGACATCATTTTTTACAAGGCAGAAGTAAACGTTTCCTGGAAAATTAAAGTGTATATGTACATATTCCGTTTATATCGACACGGACTCTAATAAATATCTTCTGACGTTTCTACTACTGACTGAATACTTCCGTTAGACTCAAAGTCCATCAACTTGATGAGATGACTTGATGAGATGATGAAAAAACAAGTTTCTTAAATGATATAATAAGAAATAATAGGTATAATATAACCAGAAATAAATAAGAGCTACTTATAAATTTTTCTTACATGTTATACGTGATGTGAAATGAGAACCAAAATATAAGAAAAAATTATCTAATCTTTATTTTACACTTTCACACTTCTGAATGTGGCACACTGGAGTAAAAAGCGACCCCAAAGCAACTTTGTCTTTTTCTTACATGATAAGTAATTGAAATGGCTTAATTACGTTTAAACCTAATATTCTTCCGAGCTAGAACTTCTTTAGCGCAGAAAACAAAAGTCTTCATTTCACTAATTTGCCAATAGCTTCCAATAGTAAAATTAAAAATCGGTTGAGATCGAAAATAACTTCAGTACGTCAGGATTTAAGCGCGATGTAGTTGAACGAAATTTCTTCAGTTCCATTCAACTTTAGACGTGAGAGAGTGTTAACGAGAATCCCGATGAACATAACAAAATCCTCTAAAATAAATTAAACGAAAATGACGTGGATCACGATCGTGAACGTCCGTTTCAGATACTTCGCAGACACCCTCGCTCACAATGAGAACGAGGGTGGAACGGCGGCTCACAATGGCCGGGTGGTCGAGCCGCAAGCAGCACCGGTCACTCAGCAGCCACCGCCGGCGCGATTACCGTCGCCGCAGATGACACAGGCTCATCCGGTCTCGATAACCTGCGCCTCTGGTACCACGACGGTACCCAACAACGGCGGCTACAAGGACCCGCAGTCGTACGTTCATCCGTAAGTCATCCAAGTCGAAAGCGGCGAACATGCCCGCGAGTCGCCGCTGTCGTCTCGAGACGAGAAACTCTAAAGCGTTTCTTCCAGACACGCGCTACCAGAAAGCCCACCAGACAGTGGAAGCGAGCCGCCATACTCGCCGCCGGGGCACAATGACACTCAACATGTGCACTCGCCACGTGAGTTCAAACTTGTCTTCTCACGTCGAATACCTTTCGCGAGAATTCTCGTGGAATTATAATTAGTACTGTCAATATGGTCCGGATATTTCGATATCCGGTTGATATTTATGTATTTGAATATCTGAACACTCATGTGCGCGAATGCCACCTATAAAATAATAACAAGTAAGTGATTACGTGTCTGCGATATATCCGTTTATTTGTTATCTGTTATCTTATTTGTTATTTTGTCATGTTTCATTTTATATTTTATATTTGCTGGAAAAATCAATAATTAGTAGTATTTGAAATTAACGAAATATTTGGTGGTTACCCTGATACTCGAAATTGACAGCGTTGATTGTAAGCCGTGATCTCGCCCCGTTGTCCGAACAGATCAAAAGGCGGCTCTGCAAGATATACTGCTGCATCATCAGAACAACCAGTACGCTCCTAATTTATTACCACCCTCGCCGAGAGCGTTGCCCTCGACGACGACGGACCCTCTGCTGTTGACACCGGTGTTGACGCCTCACCTCGCGCCAGGAACGCCGAATCTCCCGACCCCGCAGCAGATAGGACCACCGTTGGTGCCGCTGTCGCACGAGCACAGTCCGGCCGGCATCAATACGCTGTACTCTTCCCTGCAATCGGCCCCGAAAAAGAGGAAACTCAGTCAGGATGGTCTTATTCATGTTAAGCAGGTGTTTTCGCGTTTCGCTCGTGATCACGATCGAGATCGCGATCGGTTGGCCTTGATTTCTCACTTGCACTTTTGTCACTTCTCAAGGAACCCGAGCTGGGCACCGTGGAGCACAGTTGCAGCAGCAGCAGCGCGGTGCTGGACAACGATGAGGTCACCGACAGCAGTTACATCGATGCCAGCTACCAGTGCATTCGATTCCACCCTTTCCAGCAAACGTCTTGGCACTCTCTTTGCGACCACAATCTCAAGGAACTACCGGTGCCGCATTACCGAGTGGACGCCGACAAGGGATTCAATTTCAGCAATTCCGACGACGCGTTCGTTTGCCAGAAGAAGAACCATTTTCAGGTAAAATTTAAATTTAATTATCTTTTAAAGATTATTTTATTCAATTATTCGAAATAATTTCATAAGTGCCATTTTACGGACGTATCCTTTTATTTCAACGAGACAATTTTGGACATATGTTTTTTCATTTCTGACGTCGTCAAACAAGGCGATTGTTATAAATAAGCCTTAACGGACGGTATTTTTCAATCGTCGTATTTTTCAGATAACGTGTCACGCGCAGCTCCAAGGGGAGGCTGTATTCGTCAGAACTGGTGAAGGCCTGAAGAAGATCAGCGGCTTTCAGTTGCACTTCTACGGGGTCAAGGTGGAGTCTCCGTCGCAGACGATCCGAGTCGAGCAAAGCCAAAGTGACAGGAGCAAGAAACCATTTCACCCGGTGACGTGAGTCTCATGTCAATGCGCGACACACGAGTTATTCGTATAATTAGAAACTCTTGGATTAAGCTCTAGGACAGATATCATTACAGGGTCGAATTGGGCGGCGAACGCGTTACGAAAGTCACGGTTGGCCGCCTGCACTTCAGCGAAACCACGAGCAACAACATGCGCAAGAAGGGGAAACCAAATCCGGATCAGAGATATTTTCATTTGGTCGTCGGATTGCATGCCCATACTGCAGACCAAGCCAGTTATCAAGTGGTGGCTCACGCATCCGAACGTATAATCGTCAGGGTATGTGAATCAATGGCCAAATAATACCGAGACGCGAGATCTCGGCTCTCATGCCTTCACGTTGGCATTCCGTACAGGCGAGCAATCCAGGACAATTCGAATCGGAAGGCAGTGGCGTAGGTGCTGAAGGTGGGTGGCAGAGAGGAGCAGCGCCAGACAGCGTTTACCATGCCGGCAGGGTCGGAGTCAACACGGACAGGCCGGACGAAGCTCTTGTCGTGCACGGCAATATGAAAGTACGACATTTTTGGTTGCGTCCAGTCGGATATGCACAGAAAAAAAAAAGGATTAGTTGAGGATCCTTTGCTGCAGTCGTTTGATGACATTGGAAGCTGGATAACGCATGCCCAAGATTCTTGCGAAATGCGTTGAAATAAAAGGATATGTCCGTAAAATGATATTTCCAATCGATTGAGCAAATTTGTAAAATATGCTGAAAGTTTCCCTTTTCTCCGACAATTAATAAATAACCGTAAAATTAACACGACATGCAACTTTCCTTTTTAGCCTATCTTTCCTTGTTACGTTTCGTTACGTTAATTTTATAGCTGTTTGATTGTTGATTGATTGGTAAAGCAAAAGGAAAGTTTTCGGGTTTTAAAAGTGCTCCAATCGATCACAAATACCATTTTATGGGCGTATTCTTTTACTTTAGCATAATATAGCAAGAAATTTGGACGTAAAGGATTGTCTCGCTTCTGACGTTATTAATCCATCAAGATGGCTGTAGCGATGAAATAGGAACTTGAATGTGACAATGAATGAACCAGACACGTTTCGTTGAAGGAGACAGTATTTCTGGTTTTAAAAGCTACATTTGATTCATAAAAATCAGAAATCCTGTTTCCTTCAAAAACATATTCGGCCGTTCAAGCAGTCTTGTTTCTTTATACGTTTCCTAATACCAGGCACAAGATAATGATAAAAAAATATTGTTAAAAATATAATATATTGATAATAAAAATACTGTTAAATTCATCGTAGGTAACGGGTCACATCGTTCAACCTAGTGACGCGAGGGCGAAGCAAAACGTCCATGAAGTGGACACGCGCGAGCAATTACGAAACGTGCAACAATTGCGCGTTGTGCGTTATCGGTACGCGCCGGAATTCGCGCAGCACTCGGGTCTGGATGTCAAACAGGAAGACACCGGTGTCATAGCGCAGGAGGTGCAGCAAATTCTGCCGGAAGCCGTCCTGCCAGCCGGCGATATAATTCTGCCAAACGGCCAGAGAATTGAGAACTTCTTGGTGGTGAATAAAGAGAGAATATTTATGGAGAACGTTGGCGCGGTCAAGGAGTTGTGTAAGGTGAGATTCGCTGAGATCTTTCCTTCGTGCGATTAATAATACGCGTGAGATTTCATGCGCGCAAGCTTAGTGAACGACACGGTTTGTTGCAGGTGACGGATAGCCTAGAAACGAGAATAGATCAGTTAGAGAGAATAAATAAACGACTAGCGAAATTGAAAAGAGGTGATAGTTTAAAGAGTTCCATCAGCACAGTATCTAGTATATCAGGCAATAAATATTCATCTTCTATCAATAGTAAATCGTCCTTACATGGAAAAACGAAAAGGCTCGAGAGGGAGGAAGACCTCCTCTGCAGTAATAAATTTATTCAAATTATCATTGTTATACTTATCCTCATCATGGCATTTTGGTAATTATCCAACACGAGTTTCGAGCACTTCGATCATTTAGCTCGTCTCTTTGAGAAACATCGTAATTGATTCGTACTTCTACTTTCAGTTTGGTTGCGATGGCCACTTTATATTTCTTAGAATATCAAAAACGCAGCAGCATTGAGTGGTCCGCGATGGCGAGCAACGGAATGTTGGCCATTGGTCCGGCTCACCCACCCACCATGTCCACCACTCCTAATTACGATCCACGATACAATTCGTTACTACACAGTACGCTGGCCTCTTTGTACACCAAGCACGGTTCTTACACAAGAGGATTAGACGGTGGATTATCTGTCAAAAGTAATTCTCTCACCACACCGCCGTCACATACCAAACAGCAGCTGTATTCTCAAGAAATAACGTGGTACCCGATAAGTCATCCGGGTCCGCAGCCTAAAATTGAGAAAAATAAGTTAGTAAAATATATATATCTTTCTTGCAGTAATGTTATCACAAGACAGAAACGTTTCTAATAACTTGAGCTCAACATTGCATCGAATAATATTTTAGCGAGTTCCCCGGTAATTGGCTCAGTAGGAACGGTGCGGGTGCCGTGCCCAGTAACGTGGATGAAAACGAGCAAGCCTCGGACGTAGATCCTTCATCTACCAATAAGGGTCCGATACCTTTGGGAAGACCTCAGGAATGTCAGGCGCATTTTACCGAGTTCGGAATTCCATGTCGGGTACTTGGAAACTGATTCGAAATCACGACTATAGTTACTAGAGGAATATGCAAATATAACTTTATTATCTTAATTAAATAAAAATAATTATCTTTCAGATATACTGTTGCACAGAGATCATCAGACAGCATCAGGAAGATCCTTCTGATCAGCCTGATCATCCACCAGAGAAGAAATCCATTTGTAAGTTTCATATCTGCTCCCACGAATCAGTCGAAAGAAAAAAAAAAAGTATTTTCCTTTTTACTCACTATCATCTTCTTGAGATTACTAAAGAATGGGCTAGTAGTATCTTTACTCACACCGTACGAATTTTTTTACGATTTATTAAATACGAAAATCTATCGTTGTATGACAGACTTCATTCCATTTCAGCAGATCACCTGGAACAGCCGCTGAATATACATGAGGAGAAGAGAAAGATAAATAAAGGTTTTCAGAATGGTATTAGTCCATCTGATCCTAGTACTCAGACTCTCGTGAAGGAGGTATGGATTTTCATTTGAATCATTGCAATCTTATAACGTCATATCGAAGATATGATCGTGGAGTTAAAGATGCGTGTGTATCTTGCAGGCCAATTATAAATATTTGCATAAACGGGCGAGGCGAGAAACTGGTGGCGGCGATTGGGGGGAAGTGGCTAGCAACGCCGCCGGATCGTTACAGCCGGTACCCAGGCCGCAGTTATATGTAATTGCGAAAAATTTCAATACCTCTTTAGATCAAAGGTACTGCTTCCCGATGTCGCCGGATACGCCCAACAACATCAGCTGCACCGTGCCTTTGTCGAAGCATATGCCGGATACGTATTTAACGTTACATTTTGTGTAAGTTGTGTGTGCTTATGAAGTATATTTTTCACATTTTTCTACAACTACGATTTTTCTTCAGTGGCACGCTCTTCTGGCAGATCGTGCAGCAGTGCCCTTTCTCACCGAACACCGGCATCGACGAAATGTCAATGCTGTGCAACCCGAACTACAACGTGCAGCAACAAAGTCAGTTCATCGGAAGTAACAATTCACCAGGTGAACAATCATTCCCCCTTGACGTCGCTCATTACCTCAGGAAGACTTTGAAGTTTCGAATACCTACGATACAACCTCAAGAGGTAAGTAACATATTGGTATTTATTTGCGTGTACTTATTTGTGTGTACTTCTATCTTTTTAACTAAGAAATATTTTCATTATCCAAATATACATTTAATGGCCGTATTATTCTGTTGCAGAATATTTGCAAGAGCAAACATGGCGTTGATTATTTGGAATTTACACTATACTTTTATCGGGACTGCGAGGAGCAGTGAATCTTCTCTCATTGTACAGCGCACTCGTAGGACACTTCTTAGCGACACGTTTCTAAAAGTCTAACGACAAAAGCTAGATTTTCCATTCTATTTAAGAGAAAAGAAAAAGAGCCTCCGTGCCTTCGTAATCTGCCGTTTCTGCTTTCATAGTTTACAGTATACTTGTATTTTATACGTCATCGTACCGCATTACGTAATAATATTATTTACCGATATAAACGTATCAACACGCATGATTTCTAACTCCGGATAATGCGTGTAACACTCACGTGTCATCTTACGGTGGAAATTTCTTACGGCTGGAAATTTCTTTAGGTATCGTATGAACATACGCATGCAATATGATTGCTTCGTTCGCCACGGGATCATAGCTAGTAATAAGGACAAACGAACAAATTAGCAATAGCTGATGCACTGCGAAAGACCACGGGTGCGAGAAGCGATTTTCTCATTTTCTCATTACATTGACCGGGCGAAATCTCAGAAATCAACTTTGTATCCGTCAACGTGCTGCATCTTTTCCAATTGTGTTAACGAATTCCCGAGAAGCCGATTATACTCGAGATCTAGCCGTTTTGCGATGTGTTAATTTTTGATACTGATTTATGGATGACTCGTTATATAAAACATAATAGCTGAAGCTGCTGATGATTGACGATGACATCTTCGACACTTGCGAAGCTGAATAAGCTCATTGTCAAAAGATACGTCGCACAAGGCATGGTAGCGTTTAAGTTGTAAAAAAAGAGTGTCTCTTCTATAAAATGAACTTCTCTTTACAATTGTGTACAAACAACGTAATATCGAGTATTTAATGTCGTAATATTTTACGCAGATATATCGTTACCCAAATATGACAATTACCGTTGATTTTTAATAAGTTATTTTTACTTCGAATATCTCATTCGCACAGTACAGTTCGTCGAGGCAACTAATTGTTTTAATATTTTTATTTGCAATACCGCTTGTTTATATTGAACCGTATTATAGAATTGCGAGTTCCTAAAAATATTGTATAGTAAATGTTTATCATATAATATAAAAAAAAAAGTTATCGTATATGTGCACACATACTTTGCCACACTTGCTCTACAACAAACGGTAGAAATATATACGCATGGCAGCTTAATATTAGAGCAGCTATTAGGAAACAAATACTTCTGATTGTGCAAACATGCTGATTTGAATTTCGTATAACAATAATGGCTATAGACGCGTACTTTTATTGTATTAACATGTGAATCGTGTAATGATTGTAATGTCAGGACGAGGAACAATCTCCAAACGATATGAACGAACGATAAGAAAAGCCTTGCCGTCCACGCGCGTATTCTGTATGGGAGAAAACGTTTTTACAGAAACATCATAATTTATCGATCGATTATCTGTGTACCAGATAATCTGTGTCTATACTCAAAGCTCAGTGCACAAACTTGTGATGTATTGTAGAGAAATTGAAATTTGGATAATTATTAGCATATACATATCTTATATAATATATAGGAATTGTATAAATTATACTTTATTGTACAGTAATATACATTTAATTATATGATTATAATATAGCAGATTAATATAGAGCGTTGCTAAATGATATATTGGCAAATTTTACTTATGGATTCGATTTATGTTGCGACAGTATACTCACGTAAAAAATCTCGTTTAACATTGAACACTGGAGACAATTGTCAAACGCGTCTGACAGGGTATAAAATATCATAATAATTGCGATACATGCAAATGAAAAAAAGAACAAAACGGAAAGATGTAGAGACAGAGAGATATATATAAAGAAGTTGTTATTGTGGGATACGGGAAACCGATTCGCGTTTTCCGTCTATACGCGCATTTGTATATTTCGAATTTTTCTTAATGCGTCTGTAATTGACCCTTTATTGTTATTTAATATTATTTCTATGCTTTAATTTTAGCGTATAAGCTGTTATTCTATTGTATTATGATTTTTGTATCTTAGCGTGTGAGAAACTATAATCTAATAATATTATAAAAGTAGATAAATGTATTATAATTATGTATAGTAATAAGATATATCGTATATAAGTAAAAATATTTTTAAGCCCTACTCTTGCGCATTCTCTTTGCGAGTAATAAATTTATATTCATAATTACATTGTTTCCACGATGATTCATTCATCACTTTTATTATTCTAAGTGACTTCAACTATATAATAATAAATATATAATACGATATATACAAACAACATATGTAATTTTCATATAAATTATATTATTTGAAAAGAACTTGTGTGCAAATATGTATAAATGGAGACAAATTTGATCCGTTATATATAAAATTGGGGAAAGGAAGGGGTGAAGTGATTAAAGTTTCTCTTGGCAGTTTTAGGATCGAATGATGGGACAATATAAGTATAAATGTACAAGTTAGATATTTTTTTGTACACGTAATATATCGTTCTAATAAAAGTAGGCTCAAGCGATTATTTATAAACGCACATTTATTCCAGTACCGGTAAATACATATTCAGTACATATTGCTGTCAAAGCAACAAAAGTTCGAAGTCTAAAAAAAGAAGAGAGATATCTACATATATACTCCAGAATATTTATATCAATGACGGTGTCTGTTGGGTCGAATTTTGCTTATTTCAGTTATCTCCCGTATTTACATATCAGTATAAAACTCTCTTTACATTATCTAAGGAAATAATAGATTGCTCTAGAATTCTGTCATGATCGACATAGATCACAAAAGCGCGTCGGAAATCTACTTATGTATATTTAAGCTGTATTAAGGAGCTTGCAAAGAAATGTTATGAAGAAATAAGCCATAGCAAACAGTATTATACATATGTAAATGATGTACATGTGTACACTCGATGTCAGAACGGTTTAAACGCTTCTTCTTCAATGCAGTTCGGGAAAAGGTGGTCGATAGTTCAATGAGAGAATTTGTTTTTGATATATTCCCAGAAATTAAGTTCGTTCATTGGACTCTAGTATCGATTGCGTTTTCAACTATGTCGAAAGAACAAGCGTTGAAATCGCGTTTTGAAATCGAGCGTACAACAGACACGGAGAATAAAAGAATTATCGATCACACTTTATATTGGATGGATACTCATAAAGGAATATATACAATCCACATATAAAATTGAATATAATTTACAAATTCATTCACCTATGTATTACGAACAACGGCAGATTCAATATGTATACATCACGATAGAGATAAAACGATACAACACAATCACTTAATACCGTCCCGTATGAATTATTGTCCTACTACTTAACGACAAAGATGTATAATGTATTTTTTTACCTATATTTGCACATAGAAAATCGTCCTCTTTAGAATATGTTCTGCATTGTATAGAAAATTATATACCGCGACACCTTACACAAATTGTAACATATATAATATATATATATATATATAAAAAAACAGGTAATATCTCTCCAGACAGACGAAATGCGAGCGATTGACTGCGTATTGGGTGGGTTTCTGAAATACTCTCTATATATAACAGCGCAGTGTGTTGCAATTAAAATATATATTGAAATCATAACATCCGTTTTAAGATAAAGCGTGAGATATCTAAACAACCAACACGCGTTGTATCGGCAATTTACAGTCGCTTGAATACGTATATCCCTTTGTCATGTGTTATAATTACACTTCTTACAAGTCTCTATTGAAATACGTCGTATATCACGTATATCTGAAGAATATCAGTTTTATAAATATAAGCCTCGTAATTCTTTTACCAAGAACGATTTATCGTCAACTACTATGGTTCTTTTGTTCTATGGTTCTTTTGTTCTATTTTTTTTTCAATTACATTACTATTACCGCGGCTACTTCTCGAAGTCTCGCTATTTTAAGCGATACAAAAGAAAAATTTACACATGAACCTAACGTTACTTTATGCATAGACTTTATCACACCTTAAGTAGCGCTGACGTATCATGTCTCTCTCTCTCTTTTTTTTTTTTTAATCAGTTATTGCACCATTGTAATACTTTATTCGCATAAAATACTCGAAACGGATACGTATACCACGAGATCATTATCATATACATTCGATGCTTCTGTGAAAAAGAATCTGGTATTATTTCTCCCGTTTGTATTCCCTCAGTTCCTCCGATGATTCCTCGCGAACAGCTAATACCATCCTTAACATAAGAACGGCGAGTAATTTGTCTAAAGGATCCATGAATCCTCGTTGTATCCATTTTGGTATAGTCGTGCGCGCGTGAGAGAATCCCAGTTTTTGCAGGATGTAATCTATGCCGTAAGGTTCTATACTTTTCCCGGCCCACGAGAGCAGCCTGGATGAAAACGAAAGAGACGACGGTTATCGCCGATTTCGCCGGCAGCGTGCGTGAAGCAACGTGAAGTTACTTGAAGAGTTACAAACGGCAAACCCACCTCACTGTCGGCTCCAAGTGCCAGGTCTTGCATCTGTACGATCGCCAGTCTTTGATGAACATCTCGGCCGGGTCGAACTGTTTGCGCTTCTTCTCGTCTTCGGAAGTGACGGAAGTCACGTTGGACGCGTTGGCGGTGCTCGCGCTCTTCCTCTCCGGCGGGTCGGGACTGTGCGCTCGGGCGCCCATGCTCTGCATCGTATGCTGTAAAGAAATCATTTCACACTCGAAGTTAGAGAGACGGAGAGGAAAACGTTTATTTAGTTCTAGCAGCGTGTGTTCTGAGAACACAATCTAAAAATACTACTGCGCAAGTAAATAGTTTCGTGTGTTTTGACACTGACTTACAAAAAGGAGAAAAATAAGGAAACGAAATAGTACGATATAAATAATTCGAACTAAGGTGAAAATAAAATAAAATAAAGACATAGTTAGAAGGAAAGAGACTCGAGATCTTACCACTCTTTCCTTTTCTTTCACATACGACGTGATGAGATCGTGCAAGAAGAAGAAGGCTTCAGCGTCCACGGTGACGAAAATGTGATCCTCGAATTCCGTTATGAAGCTGCACTCGACTAATGGTTTCTCACCTGCAAATCGGAATGGATAGGATACAACAGTGTCACTGGGACATACCTTTCGAAGCTGAGCACAAACTTTCATACTACGTTCTTCTTTTAGTCACACTAACGTAGCGTTAAATACCGCGCGTACACGTAAATTCTCGGACAAATCTGCCAAGTAACAACTAATTCTTCATGCTTTCACATCGACAACGCCGCGACAACATCGACAATGGACGCGATTATGTCAAACAACAATGGGCCCCTACGCAAAAGTATACTGCTATTTATATTGCTATTTCGTGCAAACAGTCATCTCAACGTAAAGTCTTCCTTCTCGCGTTCCGGACTGAGCAAAAGAATTCCGTCGAACTGCAATATCGTCAGACACCGATGTCGCCTAAGCGTCTAATCAACACCTGAAGCGTACTAAACAGGCTTCTAATACACCTCTTACTCTTTTCAATAGAATATATAAACTTTGCTCCATACTTACTATATAAAATATGCTTAGGAAGTCCTAAAAATACACGAAAGAACCGATTGCAGAATTGGCGTAATAAACGAACGTGTGATATGTTTTGTGTTTGAAAACAATTCAACTTAGAAGCGCTTGCACAGTAGACAAATTAAATTGCATTTTTCGGTAAGTTTCGCGCAACGCATCCCATATCTAATAGGAAAATCTGTTCTCCGGTAATTTTCAGGACATACATTTTCCTACTGAATATGAAATGCGTTGCGAAACTCATCGAAAAAAAATGTTGGAACTTTTAATCTACTAACTATATGTGTGTGTGTGTGTGTGTGTCGACGAGATATACATTTACTGATATAATTCTATACGTTTCCAAATCAAATTACCATAAATAAATTCATTACACGCAGTAACGGATTTAACATGTCGAATCGTGTAGGAAACTTTATCGGCGATAGACTTCGGTACGGACAAGCGAGTGATATTGCGCATCGCATAGAGATGAGAGATTACGCTTGAGAGATTATACAATATTCATGCACACACGTACCTATGACATCCGGTGTTCGGGCAGTTTGCAGGTGCTCCGTTTTCAGATGTAACTGCATCGACGGCAAAGCGAATATCACCTCCCGCGTGTGCGAATGTTCCTGCAGTTTGCTGGACGATGCGGACGTGCTTCTGCCGCGTGTTGTGCTACCAGCGTCGGCTGTATTGTCTACTCGGTCTCTCTCGACGCACGGAAATCGGTCTACCGCTGAAGTATATTAAATTAAATTTATATTTTATATTACATATTAAATTAAACACTAAATTATATATATATATATATATATATAGATTTATCAAATATTTATAAGATAATTTGTGTAAGAATTCGCACCGTCGATCTCACTACTGGCGAACGCATAATGGAACCACTCTTGCAGAGACTTGAACTGAGGCGGAAATAGAACACTTCGACTTAATCTACAGACGGTTGCCATGGAATGATGCCGCGCGTGCTGTTCTTGCTGATGGCCCAGGCTGATGGTTAAGGTTTGCACGACGTGAACGTCACACGTGTTAGGCGCTGTAAACGAAGGAGAATGAGAGATCGCATGTATAGTACCTTCGGTGCTGGTAAGCACGCGACTGAGTGAGAATTAAGTGCTATGCAACACGTCACAATTACTTTCAACACTTGGGATCTCCTGAGCCTCTGTGGCGAAACTGATGCAGGGTTCCTTCAGCGAGAACAGGGCCCAGCTCTTGCTCTTAAAATTAATCCCGTGAAAACAGGCTAAGCTAATGTTGGAGCCGTGGAGCTCCATTGTACCACCAAGGACGGTACCGGTTGACGGTAGGGAAAACCTTAAGCTTCCTAATTGAAGACCGGCTACCTGAGCCAACACTCTCTGCCAGTGTCTATGATGTCTAGCGTCTGATATCGCAGTCTGGTTTAAACTCCACGGGCCTGTAAACGGGCGTTTAAATGAGCGCCCTCGTCGCAATGGCGCATGCGCATGATTATCCCGTGAGCTTGAACTAACCGTCAGCGGCGGACCTCTTCTTCTGTTGCCTTTTCTTGAAACTGCTGCTGTTCATCCTCTGATGCTTCGGCTGCAGTGAGCTGAACACGCGTTTGCTGCTCTTGAATTGCTGGCTGAAGAACTCGTCGAGCTTGTAAAACATTTTCAATAGATCGGCCGTTGTCGATTTGCTGATCATGATCTGCAGCTGATCCCAACCCAGATCTCCGTGCATAAAAATGATCGCGGGCCTGTGCATCGTTCGATCAAACGTATCAACGCGTTGTTCGTCGACAGTGATGTTACTGTCTTCCTTCTTAATTGTGAAAGTCCTGTATTCCGTTAAAACTAGTCAAGAAACGTACCTCCTAGTCGGCATAAAGGCATCTCCGCCGCTGCTGCGATTGATCTTCCACTCGTCCCTCAGAGTAACGTCTAACGAGGACACCCGAGACATCAAGACGCTCGTGCCCATGTAGTCCAATCGCAATTCCAATGCGAATAACTTCAAGCCCACAGTATGATCTGGCTCTGTTCCGGGTTCTTCTCGGATATGTACTACAAAAAAAAATGCAAAAAAAACACGTTATCGGCGGGTTATCAAGTATCGTAATCATTTGTTCATGTATTGAGTCACATACGCGACTGTTGTTTGAAATTATTATTTTCGGCTGAGACGATATTTTTCTTACAATATATATATATAAATTAATTCTGAGGAGATTTAATGGGAATTGCATATGAAAAAATAATTGCAAGTGAAAATTCGTTTAACGTAGAAAGCTGATTCACCGAGTGCGTTTGTCCGAAGGCTAAAGGAATTTAATTCGCCACGGCGAATACAAAAACGTAAGTTATAAGACGCAAGACAAATTGACCAACCATAGTTGTAATCGACTATTCTTCTTACGGTCCAATAAGAATGACCAGCATTCTATATCTCTTTAGTTTGCAACCTACCACAACCAACGTAAATAGACAAATCTGTCATTGACATGATTACTTACTGTAAGTATCGATTCTGCTCAGCTCAATTGTCCCACCAACGATACCACCTTTCGCGTCCAGGCTCGATCCCCCTAGACCGATGCCTATGTAGAGATTTTTGTGTCCCGTGCTACCGATGGACAGTCTTCCGTCCGATCTGAAGTCCTTCGTCATCCAGCTGACGTTACCCATCACGTTACCCATGTTCATGTGCACGTTCAGGCGGGTAAAATTCACCGCGAACAGCACCAGCGTCTCCCACGCAGACTCCCTCAGCTTGATCTCAGACGAGATTTGCTTGTCCGTGGTGAAGCTCCACCCTCTTCCGATATCTAAACGTGACGGTAACATTAAACGTAAGCTCCCGGTCTAATAGAGTCGTCATTTTGCGCGAATAACGCTGCGTAACGAGGGAAGTACCTTTCAAACGCGCGGGTCTCGGCGCGTCATTTTCCAAGCTCAATTTCAACTTGTCCCTGTTCAACACGGGGCTCCGTTCGGGCGCGCTCTTGGACAATGGGTCGCACACGTGCCTGTCGTAATGTTTTAATAGTGAACTGCCCATGACCGCCTGATGCTCTTCCTGGCTCAACGGCGGGCTGCCGTCTCCTTCGGAATATAAAGCGCCTGAACTCAGGTCTCCGAGGAATAAGCGTCGCACTATGCTGCGCCGGTACCAGGCCTTCGGGAAGGCCAGGATCTCCGTCAGTCGGCGCATGTCGTACTTGAAGGAGGCGGATCCGATATCGATGATCGCTGAAAATCAACGTCAAGAGTTATCATAAGAATTAACTTAGACAAATGTACGTGTGTACGTAATTGTAGCGAACCGCTGCAAGTTAATTTGTGATCCTTTCACAATTTTTTTCATTATTTTCACTTATAGATGACACATCCCTGAGATAATTTTGAGAGGAAAACGGCACTTATATGCAAAATTGCCGAATAAAAGTGCCTCGGGGGGATCTTACAGAGATACAAATAAAGAAGTCTGGATTTTTTTACACGACATACATACTTGAAAATCGTATGACGGCACGGCTGGTATCCGAGAGCTTCTTGAGCTGCTCGCTTTGGAAGTTCAGTTTCCTGCTCCTCGACAGATGAAACTTGACGAACTCCACGTTGATGCTCAACGAGTCCTTTCTCTCGCTGTCCGACAGAGGCGACCATTGCGCTTCCTTCAGGCCGGTCTTCTTACCGCCGCCGTACGGGTGAAAGATGTAAACGGAAAAGTCCGCCAAGCAACCGGTGACGGATAACCCACCAATGGCTGAGCCAGCTTCCTTGCCCGTTGTTTGCGCGTTCATTTGCGACTTGAACTCCCTGAACTCGATTAGCTCCTCCTCCGCCCGTTTAGACGAGAACACGATGTCGAGGGACGGCAGTTGCAGCATGCATTCCACTCGCGAAACTGGCAAGCACGAGAATCTGCAACAAGGCTCAAGTTTACCGTCCACAGGTCGGATTTACGCGAACCAACGTCGGTACGTCGGCGAATCTTTTACCTGAACGTAGACGGCTGCATGTGGAAGTACACTATGACGTCGACCGGGAAACTGGCGTATACGTAGTTGCTGCTGGCGGCGGTGGCGGCCCACGAGGTGTCCGTGTTTTCCAAGAGAAAGCCGGCGTTCGTCTGCGCGCTGCTCTGGAAATTGTTCTTGCTCGGGATCGGTTCTAATGTCTGCTCCAAGAACTCGAGGATGTGAGGGCTTATGATAGTCTCCTCTGGAATACTTTGCAGAGTCATCCAGGCGAACAGGCTGGCCTTCTTGGTGCTGGATTTCCTGAGCACCGTCATGGTGATCGGATTCAACAGGCTGTTCTCGGCGGACACGCGCGGAGACAGCGATTCCTCCGGCAGAGTTTTCGATTCGTAATGAACCTGGGAAAAATAATCGATGATCGTCGATGGGCGACGGCGTACGGACGACGTTAAATCTCACCTTGACGTCTAAACCGGGAATATGAAATATCGTTAAATCTACTAAAGGCACACTTGTATGCTGCAGGTATCTCAATCGGGACGTGCTAGTTGCCGAGGATTTCTCCTTGCTATTTAAGTGTTTCCTGCTGCTGCTGGGACTACCCGGTTGAAACTCGAATGTACCGCCCGAACATGATCTCTCTTTCTTCATTCGGCTCAAGCTGTAATGACAGGAAGAAACAATACGTTGTGAATGGTGCAATTTTTTGCTTCGGAAGGAGATCGTCACGAAACGTAATTGAGCACCGTGAAGTTACAGCGGTATAATTGACATTTCTGCATACTCACAGTTTAATCTCGTCTTCCCTCCCTGGATCTTTCGTGTGCAGCACGCACTTGCCGCTGTTGATCAAAACTTTGACGTCAAGCTCGAAATCTATGTTGGGCTCTTGAGCCTTCTGAGACGTGATGTACGGCGACGATGTCGACGACGCTTGCTCCTTGCCGAACGAATCGAGTAACGGTGCACTACGAGGAGATGATAATAAATCACACTTAGCACATTTCATCAAAATGCATGTAATAATGCTTTCATAAATCTATAAATTAATGAAAGCTTTTGTAAATGATCGTAGAGATACATAGACGTACTTTCCCTCCATACTGTCGTAACTAGACGTACAACTGATGTCCCTATTCTTCTTCCTCAATTCGACTCGTTCCCCTTCTATCTCGATAGTTTCGGGCCACTCTAACTCTCCTTCTGGTAAACTCAAGTCAGAACCGGCGCTCGGTAGAGACGATTGCCTAGTAAACGATACTTGGATACTTAATCTGTATTTATTTTTCTCTTATTGCTAACGCATTTACTTTTTCGACGTACCTGCACATCGTGTGCGTGTCGCTGAAGGTGACCCTTGGCCCACCGAGCCCTCTCACACGCAGGGAAGCCGACCTGAAGCGACGATTTATGAAAACTTACAAATCTTACAAAACTTCCGATGTACAATCGAAATAAAATTCGTGTAAATTTATGTAATAAGAGCCGACATAAACTCTAAAGTGAGCGAACAAAATTATTTTTGGAAGATTCGGTTAGAGCCGCGATTTTAAGTTTAGGAAATGGATATATTTTGAAATAGTAAATTAAAAAAAAAAAAGCGTGAGACGGCATTTACCGACTGGGGCCGCTTCTAGGACTGCTTTCGTAGCTGGCCGAATTCGCCGAATTAATCTCCGTATTCACGTCTTCCGGGCTTTCCAACTGGTGCTCCGGTGTAGGCGAGGGTACGATGAACGATCTCGAGCGGTAAGCGCTCGTTTTACTGCCGAGGCCCAATTTACCCTTGATACCGGAAGCTTTGACCGACTGCCTTCTCAGCTTCTGAATCATATCCCTGAAGAGCATATTTTAAGAGTTAGAACGCGCATAACTGCGAAGGGGATTGTTTCGCGACGTACCTCCTGAAGTCCTTGAACACCATCGCTTCCAGCTCATGCAGACGTTTCATTTCTTGCTCGATCGTTCCGTGCGAGGCGCCCAATATTCGCAGGTCGTTTATAATTTTAGCCTGTTCGTTCATTTCCTTCTCTATCAGTTTCGATCTCTTCTTCGCGTCGAGGGTGGGATCGAAGATAAACGCCGGCAGACTGTCGGTCCAATTCTTCGATTTTTTCATCAATATGCTTTCCTATAATTACGCGCGCAATCGTAATTTAGACGAGACGTGTGAATAAGCTTCACCGGTAAGTCTACGAAACGGAAAATGAGGGAAGAGCGAAATTTACAAAGCACGAAGCGAAGCAAAAAATTGTATAATTCAATGTGTTATATTCAGTTATATATGTACGCTTTGTCCACGTTAAACGTTACTTACTTAGACGTAATGAGAAATTCGCACGCAAATAAAAATTAACCGAACCATACTTTTCTCTTAACCTGGCTAGTGCTATTATCTGGCTGATCGGCGTCGTCACTGTCGTAATCTGGAGGTATGTGAATGTCGTCTTCCTCCTCAGATCCGGTCAACATTGTTAATGTGTGCCCAAGAGCCGACAACTGTTGTCCCACACTGACATCGAGGTGGATGTCAACTCCCTCCATTTGCCATTGAACGTTTAAGATCCACTTTGCATTGTCTGTAAGAAATTCATCATTACTAAAGTAATTCCAAGCAAATAACTAACATGTGTAATCAACATGTTTATTAAAAACTACCACATCGTACCGGACTTGTCTTGTTTCTGCGCGATGGTCCTGCTGCAAACTTCGTAAGTGCCCTCCGACACTACGCACAAATTCATTATATTGCTGTCAGTCATATCCGGCTTCCAGTCGTCCAGAGAAGTTTCGAAGTCCTCCGCAAACCTCAAGCACAATCCGACAAATCTATAACAACGAAGAATATATAATTAATATAATTAATATTTAGTAATCGACGATAAAATTCATTCATATTAACACGAAAACGAATATAATTAAGGGAAGAAAATGTAAATATTATGAATTACACTGCGGACAAAGTGATCGCGCACACCTACCTTCCTTTGCTGACTAAACTACCGCTGCTGCAGGCGGATATGCTTGTGTTTTCGAGCGTCACCACGACTGCGCCTCGCGATTCCCCGTCGTAGAGGCCTCGGTTCATCCTCCAATTGTTCGGCGGTAAGGGATTCAGCGGCAAACATATGCCCATATCGTCGACGGTCAATTGCAGGAACAATGTTCCCAGGTGCGGTGCGCTGAGCTGACTCGTCAGCTGCCCGAACGGGACCTTCTCGAATACCTGCTGAGTGGCGGTCAGCACCTCCTTGTTCAAGTTCGACCGCTTTTCGTTCCAGTATTCGTACGCGTTCTTGTAATTCAGCCACACGAGTATGGCTTTGTCGATCGCCATCGGTTGTATGTAGATTAACGGCCGTTTCAGGGTGATCAGAACCACCTCCTTGTCTTCGCCCTGGACCATCTCCTCTTGAAACGCATTTCGCAGTCCTATTCTGGTGTTGAAAAAGGCGAACTGCTGGAACTCGGGCTCGACCTCTTCGAACAGAACGTTCTTCAGCAACTGGCCCAGGCTCAGGTTGATGTCCACTTGCGCCTTGCCGAACAACTTCATGTAGGGATTCGGTTGAGTGGCGCCCGAGACGTTTTGCACTCGGTTGGACAATTGGAACTCCACCGCGCCGGTTTCCAGCCGCACCGCTGAGTTCGTCGGAGTCGTTGCGGTCAGCTGAATCCTCTGTGAAGAGACAGCGTTAGCAACGGGGCGTTCCGACGATTCAATGTAATACGGAATACTTCAATGAGAGATTCCTTCACCTTGATACGTATAATTAACGAGAACAAGATTCGCTTCAACGTCGAGCTGTTCGACTCGTCGTCCTCGAGCCACAGGGGCACCGGCTTCTCGCCCCCGTAAACCTTCTGCACCACTTCGTTCACCTCCTTCATGAACACTTTCTGCACGAACACCAAATGGTTTAAGAGATCCGTCGTCAAGGAATGCTCGAACACTCCGATATCAGCAGTCGCACTGAGGTAGCTACCCTGCCGCAATACGACCCCATCTGCGAAACGGAGTCAAGAATTCTACTCAAGCTACGTTCACGAAGACACGATCATTGAGTCCACATCAGACTGATGTCGTTTTCTACCAAGATCGATTGAACTTTAACTTGAAAGTTTGAGCCTTTATCTGGAGATAATATAAACTCGGGTTAAGATCTAATCGACGTTGGTGGGAACAGACATAAGGGTGATAGTCCTAATGAAATAAATAGCCTAATACGGGCTTTAAAAGCGAAAGTTTCGCATTGTTCACCTGCCAGCTTGCTGTCGTTCAAGCTGCTGCTGCCGTCTTGAATGTACTCGGCCGAGACGTGCACTTTCGGCAGCTCAATGCTGGCTTCGGACGGCAGATTCGCCTCCGTCACTTGCAGCTTCGTCGTGAAACTCAGATTGTGATGCGGCAGGTCGATGGTGAACTTAGCCTTGCTACCGGTTATGCCGGAACTGTTCACCTGATCCATCTTGTACTGCGCCTGGAGGGACGGTAACAACGCCGCGGTGATGCTCAGACTCTGAAGTATAATGTGAAACTGCATGACGATAGGTTCCAAGAGGCCGGACACCGCCTGCGGCTTTTCCACGTCTACCGAGGGGGCCGGCGCGTAATGATGCGGGCTGCCCGGAGCAGCTGTATCCACCTCGTCCTGCTGTTGTCCTCGCGACATTCTCGACGATGTCCTGGTGACTCGGAGCTCCTACGAGGTAAACCTGTTTCGTCGCGCGTGTCGTCCTTGAAGGAGAATCGGGAGACTTTCACGTACCTGCAAGGTCGACGACAGCTGCTTGCTGCCTCTGGTCATCATTCCGTGCAAGGCCACAGGATGCTGAGGTATATCGATGTTCACGGCGCCGACGGTCAACAGGCCGCTGTTCTTGTCCTTCTGGCGTCTCGTGATGCTGGAATACAGAGCCTGGGACTTGCCGACGGTGACCTTCACAACCGTCTGCTGGCTGGGCGCGACACCCTCCAGCAGGACGATCATGGTCCTCCCGATTTGCCCGGTCATACTGCACTCTAGACTCGCGGGTCGCGACTTCTTCCGACAAGTCAGGCTGGCGTGCAGACTGGTGATCTCCGCTTCGAGCTTCAAACCGCTCAGAGTAGCCAATAACCTGGTCCTGTGGATCCGCGCGACGCCGAAGATGATCAGCCGCGTTCTCTCGCCCGTCACAATGTCTGCGAATCAAAGCGACGTCTGATTGTCAGTGCTGGAGACGAATATGTTGATATATAATCATTTATTATTAAGTATACAAGACAAAACAAATATTCTCCTCTTTTGAAAAAATAATAAAATAGTAAATAACTAAAATAGAATAGTAAGTGGAAAAAGTAACGAAATAGAAAAAAATAATAAAACAGAAGAATAATAAAAAGCAAATTACATTTGCAAGATTCGCATATAAAGAATAAAACAAAAACTAAACTACAGACACTTCAAAATAAGAATTTATTTGATCCAACTCTAACTCTAAATCCGGATTTATATAATAGGTGTAGTAAGCCCTCAGCTTTTTGCTCTAAGCGTTAAATTGTAATTTCTAGCAAAAAGCATTCTGATACTCACTTAACTCTCTGGACGGAGGGATAGGCGTCGAACTGTTCTCATGCAAGCCTTTCTCGACGTCGGTCTCCTTGGTCTCGTTCAAAATCTCGTACTTCCTGCCACTCTTGTAGTGCTCCGCCGCATCCGCGGGTATCGAGAACCGGTGAGTGATGGTTTTCGTTTCCGGGCGAGTCGCGTAGAGATCCAGCAGGTAGTATATGGTCTTCCAGCAACGCGGCGTCAAGTGCGCGCTGTCTTTGCACTTGTCCGACAGCACGGTGAACTTGTCCAGTCCGGATCCGCTGGGGCTCGCCCCGAAGCTCGGGGTGATGACGCCCTCGCTCAAGTTGATGTAGCCCTTCACGCTCTTGCCGGTGCTGCGCAGTTTCTGCGCGAAACTCTGCGGCCGAGACCGCACGGTCGCGCCTGGTATCTTCGACTGGTTCGGCTCGAAACTGCTGCGGAGCAACGGTGCGTCTACTTTCTTGCCGCCAACGAGGAACTGCTCTTGCAGGTCGGACGCTAAAATAATATCGTTTCATCGATCACACCCTTAACCGATTACATAATTCTACAATCGTATTTTACTAAATTACATACAAAATACAATTGTCTAGCGAATTGTTCGTACGGTCAATGAAGAGCTGATCAAACGGGGTAAAAGATATGCCTATTTTATATTACATTTATATACCGTATTTTTTGTGCTTTCAATTACACCGGTCGATCAATCGCGGTCGACTATCGCGTCACTAATTGTATCTATTTTGAATGTTAATTTGTCCTATTTACGTATACTTACTTGACGACGAGCCGTTCTTCGCAGCGGTATCGCTTACGATTATGTTGGTGTTGCGTTTCCCCTCCGGCTGTTGTTCCTTCAGCTCCATTTGCGTTTCCTTCACATTCTGATACATGTTGCTTATCTGATGTAGCAATCTGAGGAGAGGCATGTTCACTTGTTGGCTGATGTAGCGGATATTCAGACTGATGTTCACTACCGTGCTGGTGTGCTTCTTCAATTGGCCTCTGGATATATACAAGACGTTCTGTTTCTGTATCATGTCGTCCACCGTCATGTCGGCCATCTTCTTAACATCTATATCTATGCCGATTCTTTCGCACAAGAAGGCCGGGGTCTCCGGCGGTATGTCGAGGTAGAACTTCGAGTTGTTTCCCTTTCTCGCTTGATACTTGTTGTCTGCAAGTATTAAGATAAAAGAGCGTCACTTTGCGGAGGATCGCTTTGAGAAATATCCCAACATACGCCCGATCCTATTGCAGGCTTACTTTTCTTCTTATCCGTTACTTTTCCAAATTCGCTCACGACTATGTCGATGCGCATGGTGTCCATACTGCCGACGAGAGACAAATTCGAGCCTAACGAGTCCAAGGAAGACATATTGTTTACGTTTCCCGATCCAATGACGGATAACATCTGCTGCGGCATCACTGACAAGGATGACAGGAGCGGCTCGAAGATCAGATGCGCGTCCAACAATCGCAGAGAGTCTTTCATAGGATAGAGGAAGGCGCCGCTTTGAATGTCGGAGTCCTCGGTGTCGTCGGTAGTCATGGTATTGATCTTCGAGTCCTGAAAGAAGAGAAAAGGATTGATTTCACACTGGAATATCGTTCTGTTCTTGCAAAGATAAACAGCGCCTCTTTAAGTGTACCTTCATAGACTTTTGCTCTGTGCGAAAGACCTGAGTAGACAAGAACGAAAACGAGGATGAGCGTGTGAATTTGTCAAGTGTTCGCATATCACCAGACATCTCGAGTCTCGCGTTTCAACTTGGAGGAATTGCGATCGGACTTACCCAATTCCCTTTCAAGTTTCCTTTGTCATTGTCTTTGATGAACTCCTGCTGTTTAGCCATCCAGCTGTACAGATCTTCCCCCGTATTAATGGGCTTCGTGGAATGGCTCGTGGGAGACGTCACTTGATCTAAGCTCCCCGTGCTGTGCTGGCTGCCGTGACCTATACCTCCGGAATAAATACTAGGATTGGAACCGAGCTGATGCGAATGCGAAACATGAATCTGCGGGGTCTTCTCTTCTCTGAGCGTTCCGTAACCTGGCATCAAAGTAACGCATGATCACAACGAGCATATTTTTCATTTCTCTATCAGTAACAATAATCGTGACATTAGCTACAAGCAGAACGGCAAATAAAGGACCGTCGATAATATTCCCAATTGAGATATACACAGGAAATCAATATTCTAGAGATATTGGCAAAGAAATAGATACCAAAGTAAGACCAAAATCCCATGATGACGAAGATGACGATACACAAGAGATGAGATTATGCACAATAACAAATCAACATCGTTATTATTCCGATTAGCCTCGCTTGAAAATAAACGCAAGCCGCTGATTAGCAATTACTGACAGAAATTAAAAGATAATTCGTTCGCTGTCCACTTACTTATGTTATTTGGCTCTCGTGTTTGACTGAACAGCCCACCACTGGTGAGCAATGGGAAAACGATACTTGCACGTGTACTAGCAGGCACTTGCGTTGGTTGCAACGATTTTCCTCTCTTTGGAAGAGCTACGGGTGGAGAGGGAGAGGTAAATGAATCCGGGCCTGGAACCGGTGTTGCTAAGGGGGTCGTGTCTTTCCCGCGAGGAGAACTTACAGGAACCGTCAAACCATCACCACACATACCTGGTCATTCCACACGAAGCCAAGGCGTTTGTATAACATAACATTATGTTCGTTAATTACGGGGCTATAACGGGCTAAATCGGTCACTAAAAGTAGTGCTTTCGGTAGTGGGAGAAGAAGCGTTTTAAGCGAAAACACATATAAGCAACTTTATGTACACAGGGTCGGTAGAAAGCGATAAAAGCGAGGTGACTTCTGATGGAGTTAGTGTATGGATACTCTGCGATTGTATACGTTGCGCATCATGTAACTTGCACCTCTTGATCGACCGGACGATAAGTGTAGGAATATAAGAAGCTTGAGCAATTTGTGTGAACGTAAGTGTCTACTTTAATTTTGCTATGTATGCATCTTGTGATCTGTCGATCTTCAGCGAGTCTGTCTGTATGTAAGTGAAGTACTTTATCCAATTCTATGTGGATGTAATTTAATTATCGAGGAAAATTGTTCTCTCTCTCTCTCTCTCTCACTCTCCTTCAAGTACCGAATTATTATCAGTAAGCGAATTACAACGGTGTTTACTGTACAGTTTGATAATACCTGGTGTCTTGTCTTGTCCTTTGATATGTATATGTTTGTGCATATGGTCCGCATGGATGAGCATAGCACATTCATCTGTCACCTCTTGATCATCAACATCTCCTGCGCTACCTTCCCCATCCGTCAACAGATTCTCCTATAAGCACCAGCAAACCGGGCCCGAGAAAAATGTCTTTTTAGTGTACCTCATAATGGAGCTTGAGATATATGGTAACTTTACACAACATTGGCACGTATATATTTCGCTGGTGTGTTAATACGTGTGGTCACTACTCAGAGAGTAGCGGCTTCTCAATTTCGTTTTGTATTTATAATGGTTATTTAAATTCCTCTGAAAGCATTTTGAAGCTGAATTTGTAAACAGTAGCAGAATTCGACGCTGTGTGGTTAGATATTTTTCGATACGTCAAGATACTTCGTGACTATCGAAGCTTTCAAGCTGTTCCGTACGTGATTATTTATTAGATAGCCGACACATATGATATCCCATAAGCATTGTCGCACCTGCACCCGTGATAAAATGTATATCCCGATGTGTAAAACATAAAGTCGCTCTATTAAACATGTATTGTGGCTTGTCGAAAGCATATGTATGTAACTTCTTAGGCTTTGTTCAGTAATTTGGAAAAGAAGCGCTTTTTCAAGAAGACTTTGGCCCAATATATTGAATGTCTAGAGAAAATGTATCAACTATTTTTTTTTTATACTCGCACTATGCGTGAATTCTGTAAAAATACTCTTTACTGAAGGACTCTTACTCCTTTTCATATCGATTTCTGCCTCCTGCTCTGTCTTGTTTACTCGCTGAAAGAAGGAAGATATTCCTAACAAATCATGCTTTTTCTTATATTAATATCTTTCGAAGATCTCTATGTAACGAGAAATTCGCGAGATGAGAAATCTATAAATTACTTATAGATCTTATAGTAAATTATATTATAATAATCTTATAGTAAATGAATGATCAAACATTTTAACATATTCACCTAAGTTTCTTCGATATTCGTAAAGATTTAAGAAAACACTATCATATGTCGATCCTTAACTCATAGAAATCGTACGTTCGTTAATTCATATCTGAAGTATATCTTACCTCATCAGGATCTGACACGGCGAAAGTAACGTTCAACGGCTTAACGTGCTTGGTTTTGTAATTATGCTCCAATAATAACGGCGTGTAAAGCACATTCTTCCATTGTCTACTTAATACGATAACGCCCTGATAAAAATAGTATAAGACAGACAAAATGTATACTTATTGTATTTTATTTAAATTATATTTTACGAGGAGATACGTCGCATTAGAATCGTTTTAAAGATATTACCTGCCGGAGCGTGGAGAGAAGCGGCAGATCGGATTCCTTCAGGTTGGCTTCGATATTCGCGATTTCAGACAACAAAACGTAATTTTGTAATATGCTGCACAACTGACAAGAGGGATCCTCCTGCAGCGTTTTCGCCAATGGCGTCAATCTTCCGTAACGACTCTGTGCGAAGTTAAACGTTGGAATTAATGGAAACTGTCAAGTACACACTGTGTCATGTATGCCTTACCATTCCCTAGACAGATAAGAGTTACACGACTTTCGACCTTATACACGTATGCATAAGGTCGAAAATTGCATACGTAACTCTAATTATAACGGTAAGGCATACAAGATGCCATGTGTACCTGTTCAATTACACTGGCATTACACCATATCGCGCACCTTCTGAGGCATGTGAAGCCCTTGCACGTCCAACGCCTCCGCCATGAGACAGGCGACGATGGCGGTAGATCTTCGATACATAGTCCTGAACATGTGGACGATTCGGATAGCGAATTTATTGCTGGGATTCATCCAAGCGTTTATCGCCGGCGAGGCCGTGCTGAGCAAGTTCCAGTCCAATCTCGTGTAATCGATCTTCCGTGTAATCGGGGTGCGCGGCGGAGCGGCGAAGTTGAACCACACCGTCTTCAGCTCGATCACGCAGGACACGGTGTTGCCGTTTGCCACCTTGGACGTGAGACTGGTGCATGTCGCGCTCATGTTCATCTGAGTGCCCGTAGATGGGTTCGCCGGCTTCGCTTCCGTCTCTGCGGTGGTCGCCGCAGACGCTGAGAGTGGATAATACGGTAGTGAGCGCGACGTACTGTACACGGTGATCGATATTTTTACGTTCCTGTCGTCTTTAATTCTAATTTGTTTTTCACACAATTTAATTTTAACACGCTTTAATTTTAACATGTCACACATGTGTGACGATTTTTCTTTCCGTATCCACACAAACAAACTCGGTTTGTTTCACACAATTCCATAGAATCAAATACAATATGGGAGAAATTCCCCAAGTCACGAACGTTGTTGATTATTTCATCTTATAACTTGTTACCAGCAGTGTTGTCCAGTTCCTCTTGGCTCTTGACACTGTCCGTGCAAAATATCTCGTTATCATTCTTCTTGTCACTGTCGCCGTTCTCCCCCTTCTCAAACTGAGATCTCTTCACCACCTTCAATTTAATCCCCTCCAGGCCGCACTCGAACATGATGAATCCCAGTCTATCTTCCCCGCATCCCATGGTGAATTCCTCGGTGGCTTGCGGCGGTCCAGTCTGCTTCTGAAACGGGCACGATGGATCGTTACGACCTTGCGTTGTTCTCGAAGCAACGTTTCCGAGGAAAGGAACGTACGTTTTGCTTCTCCTTCTCGTCGATCAGATGGTGCAGGTAATAATCGACGCACTTCAACGGCGACGTCATTCTGGTGCAGGTGAACAAGACCTTGGAATAGTGCGCCGGTATGGCGGTTATCACCGCGTCCTTCAGTATCGAGGACTCGTTCCTCAGTCTCCTCAGTTGAGAATGCGCCTTGCCTGTCGAGAATGAAAATCTCAGCTCGCGTCTGAAGCAAGTTTTTCGCATTTCCTTTCAACGATCATCGACACATCTACACACCGATGTTTAGAGTAACTATGATCTCCTCCTGTTGCTTTTCCGACGTCTCGATGTACACCGTCTCGCCGCCACCCATGTCGGCCACCACCGCGGTGGTTTGATGTCCAGGCAGAAACGCCTTGCTGATCTTGTTCACCTTCTTCTGGTTCGGCAACGCAGCCGGCTTGTGGAAGGTCTGAACGACCTCTCGAGCTTGCTTTCCCAGGTAGAAACGAGCGGTGACGTCGTCCAGGCAAATCGCGAACATCGACACGCACGTCAGATCGCGAATGTTTTCCAACGCGGAGAACGAGATGATTTCTTCGACGACGGACGCTTGCAACAGTGTTAGGTTCAGCTGAAAACGACCTTACATGTAACCACAGAGAATACAAACCCGAGGAATTCACGAGAGATCATCGCTCCTCGCACGAAATTACTTAGTACCTTCGGCAAGATAATACTGCCCTGCACCTGCGTGGTGATGCTCTCCTCGTAGACGTTGGTCTGCAACGCGATCTTGCCTGCGCGAGACGAGAAAGTCGTGAGTACGAGACGAGCAGCGCGACGAGGTGTAACATTTCTCATCACCTTGACCATTTTTGATATTCCTCTCCGCCGTGGAGCGCTTCGAGCTGGTTTGCACCTGGCTCCAATACGACAAGCTCTGGTCCTGCTTCAGGATGTTCGCGTCCTCCACTTTGCCTATGCACTCGTTGTGAAGATGGTTGAGAATCGTCAACGGATGCAGAGTGCCCAACGTCGGTATGATGCTATCGATGAAGCGCTGAAGCGACTCGAGGACCATGGGACTCAGCATGATGTCGACGTCCCCCTTGAACTTCACGATCACCGTGGTGCGCGAGCCGGTCTCGTTCAGTATCGCCAGCAGCTCCTCCTCGCCGTGCATTGCCTGCTCGTTCTCGCCTAATCGAAAATCGCACGAACTTGTAAATCATCACTAAAGGTAATTATCTTCCCCTCATTTTATATGTTTCCATCTGTACTTTCGAGCGATCTCGATCATCGGACGGAGTCGTACCTTCCGTCTGATTCAAGGACGCATCGTCCCACAGGTAGGGGTGCGTGGGTGTCTTGTTGGACGAACTCGCCACGGGAGAGCCGTCGGAGCGCGTTATCATTTTCAGGGACGTGAAGCCTTCCGTAACCGTGTCGAGCTTCGGCACGTATCGCCCGCCGACGTAGACCAATCTGCCGTCGTCCGCGCGTTGGAACACCGGAGTGGTGAAGGCGTCACCGCCCGCGGGCAACGACGACTGATGCCAGTTCGAGCAACGTACCTGGGGGGTTTTTTATTCTACGCTTAGTTCGTACGTTTCGCTGTTACGATGTTACTTACACGAGATGAAATACTTCTTCGGTTGATGCGCAAGGTGTGATGATAACTATTACTATCTAATCGTCGCTATTGCAGCGATATACTATTTGAAATGATTGCGAAGGGATGCCAATGTTTCATTGCAATTATATTTTCGTAGTAAAAGAATCACCTGTGTCAGGTGACTGACGTAGCTGGACATCAGTAACGGCGAGTCCACGATCGGTTTGTTCACTTGCATGTGCAAGTTGACCAGCGTGACGTCTTCCTGCGACGACACGGCGGAGATGAAGCTAGTGGACGACACCGAATGACTGTCCGAGGAGTCCTGCAAGCCGCCGTTCTCGATCTGATCGACCTCATTCTGGAAGCTGGTATTCCTGTTGATCCTCGGGCTCCTCTTTGTGCTCAAAATCTGCGTCTTCGCTCTTTCCAGCGTGTGCGCCTTATCCGCGACCGAGAGGTTCACGTTCGCCGAGCTCTCGACGATCGACAGGTCCGACGAAAATTTCTTCTTTATGCTGTCGTTGCGATTCAACACACAACCGGAGCCGACGATAGACTGACGTAAGCTGGACGTTCGGCTCCCGCTCAAGCCGTGGCTCATATCTTCGTCGGCGGAATAGAACGCTTCCGAGTGATTTTCAGACGACATGGATATCGTACGTTGCACCTGCAAACGAATGATACAGTACAACGAATATAATAGACCTGTTCTTCTTAGCTGAAACAAAGTCGCATGCTTTGCCTTTGAAAATGAAACGACTTAGCGTTAAAAAAGCAGGCCTAATTTCTGAAATCTTTTATCACGCGAGACGTGTCCCTGATATTTTACCTCCTGCTTCAGTCTCTCCTCCGAGCTTGTTCTTATGTATAACGAGTGATGAGAGTCCGACACGTTCACACCCTCGCCGTCCCTCGTGGTTAATTGGATGGATCCGGAGAGATTGAACTCGGTTGGTACTATGGGCAAAGACTGCGGGCTGCTCGATTCGAGCGTTTCCACGTTCTCCGTTGCGTTGAAATAATCCACGGCCAACTTGGAGTCGGATACGCTACTCTTCGGCGCGGTCTCGATCTCCGGCACGCTCAGGATGGATTTGCTGCGTTCCGCGTTCAGTTTCGAATCGGAATCTAATTTCTGAGGCAACTGAGCCACGGGACTGGCGTCGATCAGACGAGAATATGGTACGTCTTTCACATTTGGTCCACTGCAGAGAAAATTGTGTATAACGTTGTGTGAGTACACTTTAAATTCAGATATTACGAATTATTTATAAAATTATATATTTCTTCGCAATTTTCTTTTTTATATAGGTTTATTTATATTGCCAGAGGACAATCTGTCAATAAATATTAGTATTATTATTAAAATGATATCCACTTTTATAGACTTTTCTCACATTCTGGTAACAAGAAATAAAATAATTACTTATTCTAGTAAAATTGAATAATTAAGAAAGTCAAATTACCGCATCGATGTGTAAGAAAATCTCCTGTCCAACGGTTTCCTATCCACACTCGATATTAACGGACTTGCGGAAGCAACGTTCAATTTTGTACTACTGTTTTCTTCCTTGCTGTGATCGGTCACAGATCGTGGCCGTTCAGCACTCTTCTTCGCAGTTTGCGAGCCATCTTGACTGACTGTCACTTTCAATCCTGTGGCAGGATAACATACGTCCTGCAAAGACACGTCCTGTAAACTGTACGGGGGTGTGTGGAATACTAATTGACCGTCGTGCAAAATCGACTGTCCAAATCCTTTCTCTTTGCCAGGTTCGTGAATTCTGAAACAAGATAAGAATACCTTATTGTTAATATAATTAATACAGGTCTTAAATTTGATCAACGGATATTACTGTAAGGATAAAGAGAACTCTGATACACAACTTTAATACACAGAAATACAGATACTCACCTATAGGCAGCAATATTGATACCATCTTGGAGATCATGGTAGCTCGGCTTGAAAAATCTTGGTCCATTTCGATTATTGCCAAAGAACACACAACCACCGATGCAGCCGCACTTCGTCGACTTGACGCCGCTTTCTTGCGGCCATAAGAACCACAAACGCTTCGTTGTCGCGTCGTGCATCTTTAAATATTTGTTTTGTACTAAGTGTAAATTGTGCTCTGGAGTTGGAAGAGAGATCGCGGCTTCTAAGATTACCGGGCCCAAAGATACCGACCCCACTTCGAGCCATATATCCGATCCATCACCTGTAATGAATATATCGCAGATATTAGACTTTCTCGTTAAAAATTCGAATGTGCACATTCGAAGTTCACCGTTAGATATTGAACATACGCGAGAAACACCGACCTGACATTCGACTGCTTGCATTGTTATGAGATCTCCCGCTGCCGGTTGTATTAGTATTGCTCGTATTCGCGAAGTAATCAGCTGCGGACACAAATTGCCGAATCAATATTGTAGGTAGAACGGCGGTGACGCCCGACTTCACCTGATGTCCGTGGAGATTACAGGTGGAAACACGGATCGGAGATATCCAAAATTGCACGGCAGTGCCTACTTCTTGGAAATACAAATCCACAGAGTCTATGGACAGTCTTGTCATTCTATACTTGATGTCCTCGGAACTCGGACACCTGCAACGTGAGAGAGAAGATTCGATTTGTTCAGATAAATCAGCAACAGCAGGGATATCGGTGTCTGCGTTCTGATAAAATAAGTCAGTGAGCGTTTAAGTCTGATGCTTTAAGCACTAAATTGCAACGTAATTTCCAGTAAAAGAAGCGTTTCCAACGCTACTGGACGTCGCAATTGCATCGTTTTAAGCGTTATTATAACTCTTGGCAGCGCGGAAAACACCTTTTTGTAAAAAATTGCGTTATATTTTATTGTTTAGAGAAAAAGGTTAAAGATTCACCACACCTATCGTAGATCCTAATGAGTATCGCTCCTACGTTCGCCCAGATCTTTCTGGAATCTAAAAGAATACTCCAACCGCAGATAATAATTACTGAGCATCTGCTGAGCTTCGTTCTCTGTTGAGTTGAGCTACTCGTCGTTTAGATTTAAACCATGATGGATGGGCGTTACTGCGCAGAAACGGACATCGCTGCACGTTGAGAGAGACAGAAAATCTACCTGTAATGCTTGTCGACGTCGCTCTCCGGGCACTGCAACGGAGGAAGACCATGATGGCAATGAAAGGGCAAATTGGGCGGCCGCAAGCCGTTCTCGGTGTTCTTCGCCATTAATAAGAAAGTCTCCAACGACGTGACGAAGTGGTGTAGCTGAGGGGAGGTGATCTTGCCGCTCAGCTTACCCAGCTGCACCTCGATCAACCACGCGTACTCCAACGTCTCCTGGTCCAGGCTTCGTCCTTCGTTGCTGAACATAGCGTGGCCCCGGACTTGCAGCGCGCTCAGCATCAGGTGACCCTGATTCAAATGATGCTCCTTGCCGGATCTCGCTACGTTATCCGTGACCAATGCGATGGCGGGCGACAGCAAGAGCTGAAGCTCGGTCTCCTTGTAACTTTTCCTCATCTCGAATCCGAAACGCTCCAGAAGTATAACCGGACACGGTGGGTCGTTCTCGTTGCAGTTCTTGATCAGGTGAGCCTGAATGTCGTGCATGGTGACGCCCACCGTCACCTCCAGCGGCCTGTACTCCCTCGGGTCGAACGGCTTGGATTTGATCTCCTCGTCTTCCATGGACGCCTCGATGCTGCTGTTCTGCACGTCCTTATCCTTGTTCCTATCCGCGTTCGCGGCCGCCGAGCTGGCTCTGCTTTGCTGCATGTCGGTGAAGGCTTGGTAGTCGCCGAACAAGTTCTCCTTCAGGTGCATGAAGTTCTTCAGCAGAGACCCGTACAAGATTAATATAGACGGGCCGATTTCGAGCTCCAGGCTGACCTTGTCGGACGCTATGGACTGCGGGTCGAATTTCTGCGTGCCGTTCCTCGCCCATTGCAGGCCCGGCGACTTCCTGCACTTTGGGATTCGCATGGGCGACAAGAGAATCTCCTCCTTCTCCGGTGTCGTGATGTTGGCCTGCGGCGTGGGGCCCAGAGGTGGACACGGGTGGTAAGTGTAATTGATACTCAGAGCCACGATCGGCACGGACCAACAGTCCACCCAGCCCGCCTCCTTCTGGCAAAAGTTCCGCCATTTCCTGCCCCTGTTCAGTTCATGCAGGTGCTTGTGAGATCCATCGCGTGTCATGATCTTTGCGTTCTTGTCTAGCGCTAATAAAATAATACGGTTGGTGTTAACCTCCGGCAGGTAGAAGGAAAGGTCGACGCTCTCCCCTTGGATCCAAAAGCGCAGAGGTATCGTGACCGGCAGAAAATCGACGAATGGAAGATCGAACGACAGGTCGAAGAATTCGCCGCAGAAAGCGATGTGCGCGTTCTCTTGGTTCTGCGACGAGCAGTCGATCCAATTGTACTCGTTGCTGACGGTGATCAGTTCGAACTCCTTCAGGAGCAGACTGAACTTCCACGTGTACGGGACGAAGTGTAGAATGTCGGGCCTCGCTTTGCTCGCCCAGTCGTTGATCATGTCTTGGAAGAAGTCTTTGTGCGAATAAACCAAGTTGGCGGTCGCTTTGCACCCGGTCAAGTTCAGCGTCCACTCCTGATGGTCGTTCCATCTGATGGGATAGTGACACTTCACACCGAACTCCAAGGTCTCGCTCTCCACCAAACTCCGATACTGCAGACTGGTTGTGGCCTCCAGGTGCAACAATTGACCCGTGATCTTCGTGGTGTATCCGTCCTGTAGCACTATCCATGGCATCGTGATCTCCAAATACGACCCTGGCCCTACGTTCACGTGAACGGCATTCGTCTCCCGGTTCTTACTGAACAGTATGTCGATCGTCGCCTCGTTCAGTGTCGACAGTCTGATGTCGAACGACTGTACTTGTCTCTTGTCGCCCGGAATGGGCGATTTCGTGACCTTCAGCGGCTGGTAGTCGTTGGGGAAGAAGAACTTGAACAGATGCTCGCGCTGTCTGTCGGCCCAAGGGCCATAACTGAAATCTGTGCCTTTCCCGCACTTGATGTCGATGCCCCATATGGGTGGCATCGCCTCCACCATGTCGCCGTTCACCAGCTGTATCATCTCCGGATGTTCCGGCACGACACCAGGCTCGTCCATGTAATAGTACACCTCCATATTGTTGGAACTTAAGATAACGAAGCCCTCTCCCATATACCTAGGCGGATCGTCGACCATACCGGTGTACTTCGGGCTGGGCGCCAAGATAACTTTGAAATTCTCCGCCTTGCACTTGGTGAAGTGCATGAAGTGATCGTGCCTGGACGCTGCCGGTTTCGTAGAATATACAAAATGCGCCTCCTCCACGGTAATCGACAACGTAGTCGGTACCAAACGATTACCGAATACCAGTCTTCCCTGGAAACATCGCGGCAACGTTTTACAGATTCGCTCACGAAGAGAGACGTGAAACAGCATAGAAATAATTGTTGTGTTGCAACTAACTGTGCAGATGTCTAACTTGATAACCGGTATCAGGTCTCTCCAGGTACGCGCGATCACGTGAGCCTCTTTCTTCCTGATGTTGTCCACATGACGCGACACATCGATCGCATTGATCTGCGAATGGCGAATTTCGTTCGCCGCGTTGCTTACAGTCTCGCCGTCTCGGTCGTCGATGTTCACATTGTTACTCGCCTCGTCGGAAAACATTTGCGGTGTAAGGCCAAACATCTTTTCCAATTGTGCATAGAGCTGACAGCGATTATAGACGTGTAATTCGAAGCCGTTTAGCATAACCGATAGTCGAGTGTCGGAATGTGAAAGATCTACAATTGATACAGAAAATTTGACATGCTTCAATTACGTTAGCCTGGAAATTTGTGCAGCTATTACATTAAACGTCACAGAGACATTGTTTACCTTCTGATACATCTTTAGGGACGTAGCTTCTCCACCATCTAAATATAAGCCAACCATCCTGAATTCTGAAGCTATAATCTGTTGTAATATAAACTATATCTCTAAACATTATCTTTCCACTTAGAGCATTCAGTGTGAAAGATCCTGCGTGTAAAAGCAAAAGTAAAAGAATAAGCAATCTTAGAAGATACAATAATACACAACACAAAATCTAATAATCATACAATGATCTTACCAACTTTAACATATCCGTCTCTAATAACAAATCGATTTAACAATTTTGTCAATATGTAACCAGTCACTCTACTATTATAATAAGCAATATAAATAATCCAAGATATGGCAGATACTAATGAACATAGCAACCATACAAAGTTGCTGTCCATTTTAAGATCATCCAAGATGACATGATCAGAATAATTCCAAAAGGCTGGTTCAATACTAAGGAAAGATGAGACTGTAATGTTGTTTAGTTCGTTTTCTTCCATGATGATGCCGTTTTCTTCCCGTGAGATTGCCAAATTAAGAATTGTTACTCATAATGTTTATATACTGAAACAATAAGAATCTTTGTTTATACTCATTACATTTATTAACATCTAGTTGTTGCTAATCAAAATCTATCATATGTATAATATATACTTATTCATTAACCAAATATTTTATACAAAATTATTAACAATTCAGCATCTTAATTACTATTTAATATAAATTCTATTCACACTTTATATACCTTAAATTTCTATTAATGAGTTTATCAACATAACCTATGTATGCGAATGCAACCGTAGAGATACCAATATGTAATATATTTTTTGTTTCAAAAAGATATATCAAATACTTTTTTTTATAAGTGTAATTAATATAACTATATTGGTTGACATATCAAAAGAGTTTCTGTTGAAACATCAATGTCAGAACAGGTTGAATAGATCTGACAGACATGTATTTGACAGAGTTTTTGCATAATAATGGTTTTACTCGTACAGAGGAATAAAAAGGCAATTTCAGTCTTTCACTCTAAAAATAATTTGCTACAAAGCAGCGATCCCCTCTGACAGCAGAAACCGATTAACGCAAACGTTATTCCGTATCGACGATTTACCTATATCGGACACTTGGATGTGAAGTACGTCGAAATTCCGCTGTGCCACTCATGCTTTTCTGTTTATCATTGTAACAGTTCTTGAGAGATGTCGAGAACTGTCATCAGTGGACAGTGACACGCACAACCACTCCATACTTGACCGATGTACTGTGAAGGACGGTTTGTATGGCGGCGGCGTCTGATCTGTTGTCGAACGTAAAGATTGTCTAACTGTCGTTGAGTCGTACCACTTGAAATTAAATCGCGATCGTAAATTACTCCTATGTACAGAACGCGGGAACGCTGAGACGCGATGGCCAATCAACGTGCCGTTTTTTTATGAGAACTAAAAGTTTATTGGTTACCGCATTGCTTCCTGCTGCGCAGTATATAGATATTAACCAATCGCAGCAAAGAAATCTTTACTCCTTTTATTTTGATTGGTTAATTAAATACTAATATAACTATCGAGTAGGATTTCTGAACACACCCCAACATGGCAGACTTTCGCCTTTTTTTTCAGTAGTACAATTCAACGGTGATTGGAGAATCTCTAAATTATATGGAAATATAATAACAAATCAGAAAGATTTTTATTTTCAAATAATACGGCTCGAAGATGAATTAAATAAATATTTATTTCTCCAAAAATTAGACATCGATATATCAATGCGATGATTTATATATAATATATATATATATATATATGTACATTTATAAACGAATGGTGAGCGTGTCCTAACCTATCTAACCTAGCATTATATACCCTGCAATATACATATAACTAAAATGTGTGTAAATTAGTTTTTTACGATTAGATTAGAATATTAGTGCTTCTGTCGATTATTTTTTAAGTACATTTACAGTAGTATTTGTGTCTACGTATTTCTCAATATTTTTGACAGCATTTATCATTTGATAGAATTTAGATATTTTGTTATATTGAGACTTTAGCGCATATTATTAAAGAAGGTTATAAATGTTAAGTAATAATCTTATACGACTTAACTATCTTTGTCCCGTTTGGAATGCTTATGAAGTAAATATTTTCATGTTCCAAATTTTTTTTATGTTTGTCCAGATTCATTAGTGAAATTCACCATACCTGTGTGTAAATACAGTCATTTTTTTAAATTGTCATACTTGCAATTAATTCTTTGAACATCAAGATGATACGTTCAATGCTACCACTCAGAGGACCAATTTTAGTGGCTACTGTGTATCCATTTAATACAGGATCTGATAATCAATATGACAAACCTGTTAATAAAATCATAAAACCACTGATAGAAGATGAATATGGTTGGGACAGAATAAAGAAGATATTTAAATTGAAGTATGTATTTCATTAAAATCCTTTTTTACTTATAGATTGCACATATAAAATTTATATCAAGAATGATATGAAGTCAATGTTACTTCATTTTACAGTGAAGAGGGTATGTTTACGAAAGAATTGCAATCCATCATAAATATAACAGTAGCAGGCAGTTTTACTGGTATGGTAATTGGTGGTATATTAGTCTCTAAAAATACAGTGAATAACTTTATCTCGAATAACGAAGCAACAAAATTTGCAAGTCACTTTGAAGCAAAACGGCAACTCCAGCGGCAAGTTATTTTATCTTTCTGGAAGAACGGTTTAGTAATGGCCAGAAAACTTGGGTTGTTTTGTTTACTATACAGGTAAGTATACTATTATAGTATATAAGAGTTGTAGAAGGATATCATTAGATAATATATCTTTTTTTACAGTACTATAACAACATGTACAACTGCATACCGAGGGAAGTTGCGGATAGAAAATTACATACTTGGTGGCTCTATAACAGGATTCCTGAATAGATTGAATTTGGGACTTCGAGCATCGCTTGTTGGGGCCAGCCTGGGTGGTACACTAGGTGGAATATGCGGTGGTATATCAATTTTTTTGCTTTATTTGACTGGAACAAATATAGATGAGATAATGCAGGTGCATTACGATTGGATAAATTCAATGAAAGAGTAAGTAAAACATAAATTCCACAACTTAAATATTAAGATTTCGTTTATGTGAGAATTTTGATTCTCCTCTATAAAAAATACATCGTCTACATATATTGTGATATGTATAATTTTACACTAACAGGAGAGAAAATGAACAAATAAGGGCTTACATGGCTGCAAAGGAAGATTTGAACGAAAAGAAATTATTTGAAATGAATCGCGACACGCAACTAGCGAAGCAAAGATTTCAGGAAACAACAGAGAAAATTGAAGACCCTGATGCATGAACTTGTTATTATGTAAATAAATATTATACATAGACATATATAAGCTCAAAATTTTTATTATACATTTGATGGTAATTGCCTTGGAGTTTTGCGATCTTTCAAAGTGTTTCGAAAATATCTTCAACAGATCAAGGAGGTGAGACCACAAATGTAAAGTATATATAAAATAAATAAAGTAAAGTAACTAACAATCGCGGATATCCTTTACTGGCCTATTTGTCCTATTTACTTTACTTACTTTGATTTTGGCAAGTGATATTTCGTAAAAAAAAATAAATTTTATCACATATTCAAATAATTTATTATGATGAGGCTGCAAAGTCGTGGTGATCTCGGTTATGTCGTTGAAACAGAATTTAATTGAAACCATACAATCGAATAAATAATTGCACTTTTTCTAATTATATTTACAGAATAGGCCAAAACACAAACATATTGCGAACTTATTTTAACTAATTAATCGATACTTTTCTTTTTTTCCTGAAACTGAGCAATAAGATTCATGCGCATCTCATGACAGCGAGTGCGCGTGAGAGTATATTCGGAAAACATTACTATCCTGCTTTCACTTTTATAGTTATCAATCTGATAAATAGTCATTTAACTCTCTTGTCCGGTAGTCGTTAACTCTTGGACCTTGGTTATACGTTTAGCACCTCTGTTCGGCGGACCCTTGGGCTTTGCGAATTTTGGCTGATGCAAACTGATTTTTGGATGTAACTCCTCTTGAAAAAATCCCTCGGTAAGTTCCTCCCCGCCGGTTATTTGAAGCTATGCAGTCAAAACGTTTCAAAGAAAAATTACAATGCGATTTAATTAGTCAGGAAAGTAAATGTAGGGTCGGTGCGTGTATCAATTAAAGCACGAACTGGTTAACTGTTATGCAAGAAATTCACAGCTATACATCGAGAGTGGAAAATCAGAGAAAGTATTTCACAAGTTATTAATTAATGCGACTGTATAGATCATACGGCAGGCCTATTCTGTAAGTTAAACAGAGAAAGTGTAAAAATGCGCTTTCGAATCTTAAAAGTAACTACATACCCGTTCAAGGAGTGTATCGTCAAGTCGTCCTTAAGCAATCGCAAGGTACATACCTAAACGGTCCTTAGCAACTATATCGTACGTACACCTAGTTGCACGTAAACTATAATACTGGATTTATAATACAAGGAGGGACACCAAATTGCGAGTTTAAATTGCATGATGCTTTATTATTTCCAGTATATTCGATATTGGCAAGATATACAATTTCTGTTTGTAATGAGTCTATATAACTATAATTGAAGCAGTTTCGGTGCTAAAATAGGAGACTTACGGAATAGGCCTGGTACGACACTTAACTAAAAAATACTAGGCAACGTTGTGCGTCATAATCTTGTGAAATAAAACACGTTAGTTCAGACAATGCTTGAGCATAGTGCAATTGTCAATTGTATCTGTGCGAAAGGTGAGCCAAATGCTATTAATTCTTCTCTTCCGGCTTTGGACAAATTGTTAACGGAGACGTGAGTTGTTACTTAATAAGAACAACATATACAATAACGAAGAGTTTTTTAATTTCATTAAAACTTTACTTATAAAAATATATATCTGTGTCTCATTGGTGTAAAAACCTAAAAAGGCAAAACGTCCACGGAAGAAACAATTACAAGAATTTGGCTCATTTGGAAATCACTCTCATAATAATTAGACCCAGTCGTTTTCACCAACATTTTCGCCAAATTTTCTCATATTTCGCACTAAAATGGTTAAAAAGTTTATAAAAAGCTACAAGTATTAAAAAAATACAGATCACAAAAAATAGAATGTCTCTCATATATTTTGTTGCTGGCTATCTGATTTCAGTCCTAGTCTGCTGTAAACTGCATGTTCAAGTAAATATTTTGGAACATTCTCAAATAATCCCGAAATGTACCGCGTGTTTTAAATCAATTTTAAATAATAGATAAAATATTAAATAAAAACGCCGCAATTTATATCTCTCCGGTGCATAACGTAGCTTTGTGAACGCGAACTATGTGAAAGAATATACAACGGAAGACAGTAAATTAATATGTACTGCGATTTTTTCGCTTAAACAATAATTAACATGCATTAACAGCTGACAGGACTCACCAAGATCAGTCTTACATCATACGCACACACTTGTAGAAATCTAATATTTTGTGGCATTTACAATATTGTATATGGAACATGATATAAAATTTAATATATATGTAAAGTAACTAGCATTCATCACTATCTTGTAGCTGAAATAATAATGTGCGAAAAAAATATATCCACGTTAATGTGGTGTTTGCATATTTATATCACTTGTGTCTACATTATCGTCATATTGAAAATATGTAGAGAAGTTAGGTGAATGGCTTTAGCTCTTTCTCTCTCTTTCATTCCTTCTCCCTTTCTCTATTTAGAGCATCTATTTAGAGCAAATGGAATTTTTCCTAACTCTCTAACCATCACATATGGTATGCAGGTTACCACAGATATCAGATAAAAACATTACATTATACTAAAACCCTATATGAATATTTTTGTATGAGTTTAAAAGCCAAGCCTTCGAATTCCGTTTAAGAGATACTTAAGAAGATACATATCACCTTTATAAGACTAGGAACTAATTCGGTAGACTCAGTAATATATCCTCGTATGTTTTTTTTTCTTTCTCTAAGAAAGTATAATATATTTTAGATATATAGGAATCGCGCGCGAGTAAAATATAAAGTTATTTAGAATCAAGGAACTATATGAGTAGAATGTCATTAGGTCCTGTATTACAACTAAATTACACACGCATTTGCTATCACATCATAATATATATAAGGTTTCATATACCAAACTTAAGAAGTCCAAAATGCTTGAGGCTTAGCTTTCAATGTCAAACAAAGTAATCCGACTCCATCTAGCGGCACTATATCTTTCCCTTTCTCCATATAAATGAGTAAATTCATACAGTATATGCGAAACAACAAGAAGTGTATATATGTTATGGGGTTGTCCGTGTCATAGGCTCGTCACAGTTATTGTTGAATAAGATACAGTAACGTTTCACAGAGAGTTTCACGTGTGTATGGCAATTTTGCTTTTAAAATTTAGAAAAATACACCATTTGGTCTACTCTGTTTTGCTACATAGATATACGTATCACTTCGACAAATTAATCCTAAATGTTGATAAACAACACTGATTACTATCCCTTTACACGATGCATTACATTTTCTTTCTCCGCTGCTTCTAAATTAATTTAGAATTGTACATAGCTACGTAATTATAATTTGCTCTAACGTGAAATATTGGAAACCCATTATTTTTTTTATCCTTAAATGACATATCCCATGTCACAATATCGTACTATCACAATTCTGGAATTCACGAAGGAAGATATCTGATGCGTAAAACATCACAAACACTTCAATTAGCGAGAAGCAGTAATAATGGCAGACAAATGCTTTAAGCCGGTTAGCTCAAGACACAAGACCGTTTCTGTTTTGATTTTTTCTCTGGTATAGATTGAGTAGGGGCACAAGGTGTTGACGGAGTTGCAGGAGTTATTGCAGCTGTGTCTTTTATGCTTGGAGGATCTTCCAACATATCTGCCAATTCCTCCCCACTATTTACTTCCAACTGGGATTGCATTTATATAATACAAAGACGGTGGTTATATACATATGTATACATAAGTTAAAATATTTTAGCATCACATAGGAAATAATATAAGAAAAAAGAACGGCAATGTATGATACACTGTTGCGTGACTTAGAAAAAGCAGGAATTGCATATTTTGCTGAATACACATAATGATTATTTGCAATTATATCGTTGTAAGCATGACAAGGTGGAACAAAGTATAGATTTCCATTTAAATTATTATACTTTAAAAAGAGACTGTAAAAATTAAACATATTTATGTACATGGGAATTGTCACGTTAAACTTACTCTTAAACAAATAATATCGACAAAGAAAAACATTTACATAGTACAAGATAGAGAGAATAAAAGAGATAGTTGTTATAATTAATTAAAAATAGATTAGTTATACTAACCTTCTTTGCTATGGTTACTCCTAAAGACTGAATAAGATCCAGGAGAGGCCCTTTGCAGGAGGAATATAACATTCTTTCTTTAATAGTGCAACTATATCCTGGCATGCTATATATGAAAACTGAAAGTAAATCGTAAAGATGATTAGATATCACTGCAATGTACTTATTACATTCACAACTGATCACAGATCAAACCTATTCTTTTTACCATCACATACCTATGCATTCTGTATAATCTCCTTCATGAGTATGCTTAAAGTTATAAAGATGATATCTAGCAAAGTCAGATGGGACTTTAGTAGGTAATTTATCCAAAGAGACATCACAAGCTGTTACCAAGTGTATCTTCTCTTCTTCCAGGTCAATTTTTAATTGAACATATTCATGAACCCCTTTAGCCATCTCTGTAATAGCTTGCTTGGCTTCATCTGTTACTGGAAATGCTACACCGCTTAACGTTTGATGTCTTGTTTCCACGCTGTAGTCCGTAGCAGCGGTAGTCTTTTTCAATTCAGCTAATTCCTCCTCAGCTGTTGTCAACGGCACAGGAGCTGTATCATTTCTCTTATGCTTATGATAACCCTCCAGTGTGACATCTTCTGGAACAGTCCCATGCAATTCTTCTTTTATGGAGGCTGTGCCAAATTCTTGCTTCAAAGTAGCCTTGGTAGAAGCATAGAGCATTTTCTGTCTAACTGGTGCTGTATCAGGAGACCAGGATATGAATAACCAGTCATAGCCAGAATCAGGCGATTTCGTGTCCAGTCTATAAAGAATATAAGCTGGTTGATTCTCCACGATCAGTGGCTTGACCATTTTGTCATAATCATCCTGCCATTTATTTATCGGTTTAGCGGAAGAAGCTGGCGTCAGTTCCTCTGAAAGATAGAAAGAACAAAAGATACCAGGAATGTTGAATCTGCATCGGCTTCCGTATATGTATCTGTAGCAGTGCCAATTTATAGTGCGTGACTCAATGATAAGGAGCTTATCATAATTTCAACTCACCATTCTCTATCGAAATCTTGAGTACTCGTATTTTCCCGTCGCGGCACTTTGCGAACAACTTCTTCAGTGCATCATTCGCTGAAACAAATCAACCATTACGACATCGTTGTCGAAAAATTGACAGTTAGGCTTAAAAAACTTTCGTTTTGGACAATTCGATGCGATTAATGTTCACCGTGACAATGGTCCACGTAAAAAAAAGCATGCAAATCACCTTTGATTCCCGTTTGGTGCGACATTATTCCGCGCTGAAGCCCTGTTGCCGTGTCCGAGTACAAGTCTCGACTCTCTACGCTCGAGAGTTATTTTTTTCCGTCTGCCAAAGTTTTACTGGGAACAGCCACCATTGCTGTGTGTCAGTGAGCACGCATCTACTGTCAGATTACGTCAAATCACTGGATGAAAGAGAGCACAGCCAATCCCGATCGAGAATTCCTTTCGATTCTACCAATGGCGAGAAGAAATGTTCGAGAATCGTCGATAGCCGTCTACAATAATAATTAGTCTATGGTCGAATGTCGAAAGTCCCTATAAGATAAGCGATTCACAGAAAAGTCTGATAACAGTTATCGTATTTTCGATTTAGCCGATGATCTGAGATGGAATGTTCCCGAAAATAATAATCGAAAATAAAATATCTGCATATCAGTCATTAAGTCGCACTGAAACCTGAAGGTCGCTTGAGAACGCAGGTTCCTAGAGACATCGTTAGATGGCGCCAGGCAGTCCGTTCGCTTTCCCCTTTTTTTCGAATCTAATTATATAAATATTATTCCAAGATGTAGTTTCAATCACCTCGGTAGTTTACATCAAGCAAAAGTCGACATCTTTTACAATATATTATTAAGACATCGCTCCGGGTCTCAATATCGCTTATTGGCGTGAGTATTCGTGTTAATTATGTTAAGAATAGGCAAATATATAAAAAAAATCACAGTTGTTCATGATTAATTAAGACATTAAAATATTCTATTTATTTAATTTATATTTTCTTTTTATATCCCGACACAATGAGCTTTTAATGTTTCATGATAAAAATATGTCGATACATAACTTACTAAACGGTTAATCGCATCGTCGTTATATTTAATATTCGTTCGTTTTATCGTCATTTAAAATTGCAGAATTCTCAGAGTGTTCTTGAAAGATGTCGCGACGAAAGCGTTTGACAGTGAATTATATTGTTAACTCAACAATATAAGCGGTATAGGATATGCATTTATTTCAATTCTTGATTACATGAATATTAAATATATTCTTTCTTACTCTCCTTTCGAGACGGAAAAAAGATGCATTGAAAAATGTTTCAGATCCAACTGTTTCGCGTCAGTAACCGTTCAGTGGCGGCTTTGCGATCTTTGATCTCGTGACGCACCCTGCAAAAGTCCATGTGATTCGTAAGTTCGCCGATTTCTTTGGCACACTTCCTCGTTTTCACGTTAATTACAAACAGCCTACTGCTCGCCTTCTCTCGTTCTCCTCTCGCGGAATCCGACGTCTGTAATATTACACCGTCCCTTTCAGCGAACGGCATCAACGGCTTCATTTTCACGTGAGAATGATTGTTGCCCATTCATCGACATAAGCGGAATCATGTGTTGAATTCTTCGCAAAAACTTGTAGTTAACAATCGTATAAACATTAACACGACGTGAATAAACGTGATGTTTTTTTTCCACGGTGGATTTTAGCGATATCGTTCAAGCAATCCCGACACAGAATTCAAATAATCAGCTTTACTTTTTCATAACTTTTTAATAAGTATCGTTTATTAAATATTAGATATCTTTATTTATAAAATATCAGATTAATTATCTGTCAAATCAGATTCAAAATATTGTTTATTTTAATATTTCCACTATTAGAGTCATTTTTGAGGTTACATGTATTTTAGGTAGCGTAAGTTTTCATAAAAAAAATTACAGGTCTTAATAAACAGAATTCACAGTTCGACCCGATATTTCATATCAACCGGAACATAGTCTTAAACCCGGTTCCACTATCACCTAGCTGACCACCAATTAGTTGAATCGATCAATGCGATTGGTCAATTCCATTGAGTTAATCGTCGGTTAAATTTAAACCATAATGGTGGAACCGGGCATAAGACTCGGTACTTTCTACGAGCCGTTACGCGGGATACGACACTTTCGGCCATTCTTTCGACGATATTTCGTGCAACAAATGCGTAAAATTTCTTCTCGGCACTCCCGATCGCGATAATTCAACACGTGAGACCGTTTCGGTAAGTCGAAAAAGCGTAGTGCCGCGATTTAACCGCGACATGACGTCAAGGTTATGATATACGGGTCGTACGAGAATTCGAGAAGCCGTTCGGTATCCTTCAGTATCGGCTCGAATCGGGTGCCGAAAGTGAATTCTGCGATCGTCGCGCAGAAATATCATCCAATCGCCGCCCAGCCATCATCGAGAGTAAAGAACATTCGCGATCGGATTATCGGGGAATGTCGAGTGAAGTTTCACGCGTCTGCCTCGTTATGACGGTGGGAAGCCGGAGTCGTCGCATCCCACGTCGCCGAGGAGAAGTCGGTAAGTACCGGTAAAATCAGGATTACTGCGGATAATGCGACTTTTACACGTGGAATCGCTCTAAATCGTTACTTTGCGATTGATGGTTATCGAAATGTTTCCGCACGAATCAGATAAACGTGAAAATGCAGCGTATTATTTTCTAACCCTTTCGCTCTTAATAGCCACTAAAATGACACAGTGCTGCTTTACCCGCTGGCCGAATAGCCACTTTAGTGACACCAGATAACTGTGCTCAGCTACCGAATAGCCACTTTAGTGACAAGGCTACTTCTAACGTTTCGCTTAAAATTAAATTAATGAAAAAAATAAATTAATTTAAAAATTAATTTAAAAAATTAATCCAATCAGTACTGGTCCAAAGTCAAGGGAGTAATTGAAAAGTCCCTGGCACGTCCGCCCGAGCGGCAGATCGAGTTCACGAGCTATCAGTAGTTAAAGGGTTAAACGTATCTGTATCACTATTCATCGTGTGCGTATGGTCAGTCACAAAAAGGTTGCAACACTTTTTTCGATGAGTTTCACACCGCATTTTGTATCCAATCGGAAAAAATGTATCTCCTGAGAATTATTAAAAAATAAACTTTCCTATTGGACACGAGATGCGTTCCGGAATTTATAAAAAATAAGTATGTTGTAAACCATACGTGCGTCGTATTTAATAAAACTTTCGGATAATGATATGTTATAAAATAAATATATACCCTTTTTTAGAGTCGCTCATAGTCATAAAATTGTAGGAATTCGATGTGTCTGGTCTGCTATATCTCAGACACTAGAAAAAAGATTTAGCTTTCACGGTTGGCTTATCGGTCGTTTAACAGATCACGGACGCGTCGATACGTCTCGTCTCGGGAACGCAACCGGGCGCGTCGTTAATAAGTCGTCGAACAATTTAACCGCACGCGTTGCGCAAGATTGAGTTAGCCCTCCGTCGCAAAAAAGATCCGTACCGGGCGGTTTGCATCTTCTTCAAGGGCCGCGGCGCCTCATAATTCACTTAGAGTCAGCTCGCCCGTCTGCACGTCGGTCGAGACAGCGGCAATTACGGCCTGTGTACGTAAAAAGCAAGCGCAACTCGAGGCACGTTTTTCTCGTGGCACAGCAAATGCCTCGCCTCGTGGTCCCACTGTCGTCGTCGTCATTATCCGCGTTGTCGTTCACTCGCGATTTCTGTGAGGATGAAAGTACCTCACCGTTCCGCTTCGAGAGCTGTTCCCGCGTCGAGCCGTCGAAAATACTCGAATATTCGTTGAAACTCAAACAGCCGGTGTAGAAAAGTCGAGTGCGTGCCGACCGGGTGAAACATCGGGGAACGAGAAATCCAACACGTTTTGTGGCCTGATAAGGATAGGCGGAACAAGATAAAGACAGGCGAGATAGGTTAAAGATAAACAGGATGGAATTGCTCGATTTGGAGAACAAGCTCCAATTCGAGAAACCCGTCGGGACATTCGGAACATGCTCGTCCACGTTCGCCGGACACCGACGGTTTCCGAGGCACAATGCGCCTGCAGAGAACCGCGCCTCAACGTCCGCTGTATTTCCGAGCCGTTCGCCGCGGCAAGTCGTCTCACGAACGGATGAAATCTCGGGAAACGCGCGAAGTGAAAAGGAGTCTTTCAATCGTACGTCGCGAACGAGCGATCGGGTAGAATCCGCGAGGGTGGCTCGCGGTGGTCCGCTTCGCGAGTGCGCGGACACGCCCGCCCCGTCTTGTTCGCCGTACTCTTTCCCGTGGTAATTCATTTAGACGGTAGTCAGACGAGAGACAGGCTCAATTACACCCGCGGCAAAAAGCCGACCGACCGCCGGTTGCTTCCTCGTACGACGTGCGTGGTCCGCAGGCCGAAACGGGACGAGATGTGACGAGACGGATGAGACGGGACGCGCGGGCGTTACGCCGGAGACAACGCGCGGGTGTCGTCGGGGACCCCCGTCGGCTCGTGTCCTCCGTCAGTCGAGCGCGGCACCGCGATCATTAAGACGGCCCCTTTGTCGTGGCGGACGCTTTGCGGGTACGAGAGCGACGCTGTCTGTCGTTTAACGACACCCGAGCACGCTCCGCGGCTCGCGATGCAGCGCGCGGATATCCGGACGACGCGGCTGGAATGCGCGCTAACGTCGATCGGCGAAAATCCTCCGCGGGAGTTGAGTATCGCGTGATACCTCGTAATAATAGTGCATTTAATGACGCATTTCATGACATTTTCATGGCAACATTCAAAATACTTCTAGTAACGTCATCTTTGCAATTATTATATCTATTTTATTTTTAATTTTATATGTTCAATCTTTTTTTATTGATTTTACCGTGTGTGTGTGTGTGTGTGTGTGTATGTGTGTGTGTATTCAGCCTGTTACAAAAAATTATAAATGATTGCATATGTGTTTATTTAAATATATATATTCGAGTGTATATACAATAATTTATATAATTCCTTTGTAGCACTAGCAATTTTTTATTGTACGTGTGCATACATACACAAAATAAAATTAGAGGCTTGCAAAAATTCGTCGCCTCTTTAGCTGTATCTTTTTTCAATTAACAATTAAACGGTACAGCTTATGTTCAATTAGATCATCTATCGTCGTTAGCCACCACTTTCCATCACTTTCCGAATCACTGATTTCGCGTCTGCAACATGATTCATCCTTTTAGCAAACGAAATTATTGACAATTCGCTTGAACTGTTTCAAGTTCCTAATATATCGCGGATACAAGGAGAGACCGCGTTACAATCGTGACGTGAATCCCCGACGTGAACTGTAACCTTCGGAGGCTTCCTGCAAATATCAAAGCGCGGAACGCCGATCGTCGACCTCGCGA